ACCGTCCTTAGCGCCGCCCAGGGGGCCACCAATGGTCCAGCCCCCGCCTCCCTCTCCAGGACCTCACACATGCGGTGCCAGGTCTCACCTCAGGGCTCTTGTTCAGGCACTGCCCCTTGCCGGTGTACCCGCACCCTCCCCGTCTCTCCTTCACATCCGGGAAGTTTTCCTGGCCTCCCCCTTTCTCTCCCCAAGGCCAGGTGAGGTGGTGGCTTCCAGAGTCTGTTCTTCGATCTGCAGTCCCTATTGCTCCCTGCCACCTCCCACCCTGCCAGCGCTGGGACCCTCGAGGCCTGGACCCATCTCGTCATGCCAAGTCCCCAGCCATAGTGTGAGGGTCAGCACGCAGTGGGTGCCCCACTAAGTGTAAGTAATCGAAAGCTGCTGCCCTCTCCTGGCCCCAAAGTAGGCAGAGCCCGAGGTAGTACCTGGGGCCGCACATGACCGGGATTCTTGTCTCCGCCCGGCTCGGACCCTGAGTGGCCAAGAGCAGACCCAGTGGCCCTCACGGGCCCAGTGGTCTCCCTCGCCCCCTCCCCACGTCTTTGACTAAGTCATCTCCTCTTTCTTGGCAGTCCCCTCCAGACCTCTCTGGTGAAAAGTCAGAGCTTGGTTGTTTTCCGCTCACAGCGCTGCGCACCCACCACCTCTGTCTAGTTCACAGCGTTTCCATCAGTCCACGGTAAACCTCGTGTCCGTTAAGGAGTTTCTCCCCACTTTCTCCTCCCCACAGCCCCCAGCCACCACTAGCCTGCGTTCTGACTGTGTGGATTTGTCTCTTCTGAACATTTCTTGTAAACGAATCACGTATGTCGTCTTTTGCATCTGGCTCTTTTCACTCAGCATAATGTTTTCGTGGTTCATCCGAGTGGTAGCATGTATCAGAACTTCATTTCTGTTTATGGCTGAGTAATATTCCGTGGTGTGGGTGGACCACGGTTTGTTTATCCATTCATCTGCTGATGGGCACTTGGCTTGTTTCCACCTTTAGGCTGTTGTGAATAGGGCTGCAGCGAACATTGGTACAGGTGTCTGTTTGAGTCCCTGCCTTCAAGCGTCTTGGGTCCATGCCTAGGAGTGGAATTGCTGGACCATTTGGTAATTTTTTTTGGTAACTTTTTGAGGAACCACCAGACTTGTTTTTTGTTTGTTTCTGGGCTGGCCACAAAGGTGGCTGAGGTTGAGAGGGAGTTCATTGGGCTCATTAAGTGTATGGTGAATGGGGACGGAATGAGGTCACCAGGCCTGCCTGGGTGTGAGGACCCTGGGCCCGGGCACCAGGCAGGGTGACCCCTAGCTGGTGGGCGGCAGGGGCTGCAGCCCCCTGTGCTCAGGATGGACGCCCTGGAGTCTGCAGGGGGAGAGGAGGCGTGGGGTGGCTGGAGGCTCTCCAGTGGGGTGGAGGGTGGAAACCCGCCAGCTTCCGGTCGGCGTGCACATGTGGTGAGTGTCTTGTCCAGCAGCATCTTCTTAGACAAAGGGAGCGCGGAAAAGCTGTGGGTAGATTAGACTTCTTCTCCGGCCACCTGGCGTAACTCAGAATTCAGCAGCCATTTGGAAATTGCCCATGATGCTCTGAGGAGGGACAGGTTTGAGCCCCACCCCCTGGAGTGCTGGCCTCATATCCTCGGAGGGATGGGGGACTGTTTTAAACCCGGAGAGGATGGGTAGTGTTTGCTGAGCTGCCTGAGATGGCTAGAGTCTGCAGGACTTAGGGTCAGGCTGCAGCGAGGTGACTTCTGAGAACAGGGTCCAGCACCTGCGGCCACACCTGCCCTTCCTCCAGGGCCAGTATCTTGTTTCTGGGCTGCAGGACGGATACCACACTGCCCTTGTGAGCTAGACTGGGGCGACTCTCCCTGTCTCCTACATAGTAGCATGTAGCTGTTTCATCGGTGGCACTGGTAATAGCAATAATAGTAACTCCTGTTCGCTGAGCACTTAGCACGTGCCAGGCACCGGTTGACTGCTTGTGTGATGCCCCCAGCCTTTCCTGGGATGCGGAGTCATTTTAAATGGTGTATGTTGTTGCTGTTGGTTGCACTGAGTTAGCTCTGATGCATGGCAACCCCGTGTACAACAGAATGAATTGTTGCCCGGTCCTCCTCCATCTTCACAATCGCTGGTATAGTCAAGTCCCTTGTTGCAGCCACTGTGCGTTTTGAGTGCCTTACAAGCTAAGGGGCTCATCTTCCCGCACTATACTGGATAATATTCTGTTGTGATACATGGGGGTTTCTTGGGCTAATTTTGGAAAGTAGATTGCCAGGCCTTTCTTTCTAGTCTTAGTCTGGAAGCTCTGCAGAAACCTGTCCACCATGGGTGACCCTGCAGGTATTTGAAATAGTGATGGAATGTTATCTAGCATAAAGCAACACACAAGCCACCATAGTACAGCAAATTGACAGACTAGACGCGTGGTGGAGATGGTGTACGGATATCTATTCTCATGTGCGTGGTTACAGATGTGCTTTTCTGGTTCTTTTCATTCCATGTGGTACCAGGTTTCTGTACATGCTGGTAATAAGTTTCTCTTTTAAATACAGTTACGCCGAACTAAATCTAAGTGACTGGCTTTGAAGAAAAGTGTTAAGTAAATGACGGGACTTACAAGGCGGGGGGTAGATGGGCGTGGCCCCAGTAGTGAGGGTGATGCTTGAATGTCCGGGATTTGCGTTCATGTCATCCACGTGTTGACTCTGAGGTGTAGAGGTTATTATTGCCTCCATTTTGCAGATGAAGACACTGAGGTTCAGAGAAGGGAAGTGACTTGCCCCAGGCCACATGGCTTAAAGACCTGGGAGCCAGGACTTGGTCTCCATTCATAAGAATTACACAGTGCATCCTGCTCGGCGGCTGGGAAGAGCCCACACGGGCAGCATCGTGAGGTGGTTGTAGGCTCATCAGTCTTGGTTTTGGAATTCCTCGGCTTTTCAGTGTTTGAAAGATTGGATAGTGCTCAATTGAAGGGTTGCCTCTTCTGTGATTTTGCCTTCCCTACGTGAGTCAGAATTCTTGGTGGCAAGTGACAGAAAGCCAGCTTGGGCTGGCGAAGGTGAAACACATGGAAGAAGCATCTCAGCTTCCCTAAATGGAACAGGCTTCAGGCACAGCTGTCATCAGGACACGTTCAGCTCTGCCTTCCTGTTGGTTGGCTTCTTTCTCAGGCAGCGTCCTGCGTGGTGACTCCGAGAGCTCCATGCTTTCTTCTTAGTGAGTCTGATACCTGGATTCCCCAGCAGAGAGTGCCTTTTCCCTGGTTCTTCCAGCAGAAGTCTCAAGCCTGACTCTCGTTGGCTCAGATTAAGTCACATGCTCATTCCTTAACCAGTTTTAATCTCAGGGTGATGCAGGAATCTGATTGGCCAGACTGAATCACATGGCCATTCTTGGAGCATTGGTTCCCCAAAGGAAAGTCAGGTGGGGGTTGGGGGACACAGTCAGAGCTCCCAGACACCCCCCCCCCCACCCCGACCTTAATCTTCTCTCCCAGTGCTTCTCTGCATTAGCCGGACGGGGACAGATTCCCAGTGGAGGCTCCCCATGTCTACCACCTTGGAGAAGGATGTCACCCACCTCAAAGTAGCAGGATGAGCGTCATCATGATGAAATTGCAGGGGGTTGGAGGTACCTTCTGTTTGCCTCTCGTCCCCTGTAACTACATGAGGCTCACCCTCAGCCTTCTCATCAGATGGGGACATTAGGGTGCTGGCCTCTGCACCATCTTGGAATCTCCTCAGCTCTGGGGTATGGGGTGGGAGAGGGGCTTCACGGGGCTGGTGGGAGCATGTGGAGGCAGTATGGAGTGTGCTGGACAGAGGGGTACATGGGACCCTCATTCCGGGTATCGACGGAGGAGCCAGGGGGGATGGGGCAGTAGCTGGCAAAGGGGAGGATTCTGAGGAGAGTGAGGGTTGCCAGAAGCTTCTTGGGAAGGACTGGGGTTTCCCTTGACTCAGTACTGGCACTTGAGTCCTTTTTTCTGGGCCTCAGTTTCCCCATTGGTAGTACCGACAGTGGGCGTTTCTTGAGATTCTTTCTAGCAGGGTCATGGTGGTTCCATTTGGGTCCTGCCCAGGACGTGCGGCCTGCAGGAGTGTCCTTGATACCCTGGTGTGACGTTCAGCTTCCCCATCCCCTGCCTTCTCCCACACCAGTGTCCCTTTCTGCACCTCTGACCCGCATCGCAGCCTTTTCTGACCTTGTTTGCCACTTGGCGAGGACAGTCGTGTGCCCCTCCCCCACTGGTTGTCCTCTCCAGAGAGGCCTGGCGGCTGGATGCCCGCTGGCTGCCTGCTGCTTCCGGAGAACTTTGTCCTGGTGACTGGAAATTGCCGGAGGTCGTGGAGTGAGGCTGGGGACCGAGCGGGGATTGGGGAACAGTGGACATGGTGAGGGCTGTGCCTGCGGAGGTTGGGGTTCTGTAGAGAGAGGCTGGGGACCGAGTGGGGATTGGGGAACAGTGGACGTCGTGAGGGCTGTGCCCACGGAGGTTGGGATTCTGTGGAGTGAGGCTGGGGACTGAGCGGGGATTGGGGAACGCTGAACATGGTAGGGCTGTGCCCACGGAGGTTGGGGTTCTGTAGAGAGAGGCTGGGTGGGCGAGCAGTAGTTATGGACGCTGGATATGATGAGTGTGGTGCCTGTGGAGTCTGGGGTTCTGTGGAGACAGGCTGAGGGGCTGGATGGGGATTGAGGAACAGTGGACACTGTGAGAGCCGTGCCTGTGGAGGTCGGGGTTCCTGTACCTGCTGGGTGAGGCCCTTGGCAGTGGGGCAGGGGCTCATCCCTGATGGTCCAGCAGGACTGGCTCTGTGGGTTGGAGGGTCCCGGGTGCACAGGTGTCTCCTGCCTGACAGTGGGCGGGGGAATGTGCCAGCCTGGGGGAGTAAGGCAGGAGGGGCAGGGAGACTCCGTCCCAAGGAGCCGTTGTGCCGTGTGGCTCACCTTGTCTCCTTTCTGGTTTCCTCACAGGTGCCTGTGACAGCAGCCATGAGCAGACAATGATGGCTGACCTTTAACCCCAGGTGGCAGCTGCAAGCGAGCCCCCAGACGCACCCGCCATGTCGGGGTCCACGCAGCCTGTGGCGCAGACGTGGAGGGCTGCCGAGGCCCGGTACCCGCCCCACGGCATCTCCTACCCCGTGCAGATTGCCCGGCCCCACACGGTAAGGGGACCCGTGTGGGGCTACTTCTGTGGGAGTCCTCATTGTCTCCTGCTTTCCCCTGGGAGCCCCCTGGTGTGGTCCCAAGGGCAGGCGGGCAGGCTGTCTAACGGAGGTCCCCCTCACCCGCATCTTAGGACCGTTCCCAAGCCTGGGGCATCTGGTAAAATCCTTCGACCCCATTTTAAAGCTGGGAAGGTGGAGGCCTGGGCCAGCCGAGCTGAGGTCTCTGCCACTCGGAGTCAGTGAAATGCTTCTGTACTTTTTCCTGATCACCGGTGGAATTTGCGTGCAAACCTGCAGCGCCTGCTGTATGCACTTGCCTTGTAGCCCAGCCTTAGCTCCCTCCTTGCTTTGGAAGCTTGAGTGGCTTCCTGGAGGCTCTTGCTCTCAGTACCTACATCCCCACCCCCACCCTGACCCTCATGGCCCGAGGCTCCAAGTCAGCGAGACCCAGTGCATCCCCATGTCTAAATTCCAGATCAGGGGGTGCCAGGGCGGTGGTTCAGCTCACGATGGGGCCCACCCAGGTGGGAACAGGCGGGGTCTCAGCCAAGTGCGCCCCCTGGGTAGGCCCTCCTGAGCCTTAGCCCTCTCCGTCTTCCCATGTGACCTGGTTTTGAGCCGGGCCCATGTCCCATCGCCACCACTCGATCAATGGTGGGCCAGGAGGAGGGGCCTGTGTGCCTTTGGTCCCGCCCCGTTGGCATTTATTGTAGAAAAATCAGAATGTTTCCAGAAAAAACTCTGTGCCCAGCGTGTTTGCTTATTCATTCATTCATTTAGTCATTCATTCACTGTGGTAGCGGGACAGCACACACACGGACCCCGGCCTTCCAGAACATTCAGACTAGTAGTGGCCATAGAGAAATAAATACCAATAGGAGGTAGTGAAGGAGCCCTGGTGGCACAGTGGTTAAGTGCTTGGCTGCTCACTGTAAGGTCAGCGGTTTGAACCTACCAGTTGCTCTGCAGGAGAAAGGACCTGGTAGTCTGCTTCTGTAAAGATTAAAAAAACCAAACCAAATGCATTCCCACTGAGTCGATTTTGACTCATAGTGACCCTATAGGACAGAGTAGAACTGCCTCATAGGGTTTCCAAGGAGCAGCTGGTGGATTCCAACAGCTGAGTGCTTAACCACTGTGCCATCAGGGCTCCCTGTAAAGATTACAGCCTAGGAGAATCGACTCAGTGGCACCCAGCAACAACACTGAATACCATGGCCCTAGGTGGTGCCACAGGACTCTCAGGCCTGGGCCCCCCATGTGCCCTCCTGGCTACTGGGCAAGGAGACAGGGTGGGGCTGAGGGAGGGCCCACAGTCACCAGTGGGATGGACGCTGGCTCCACTGGCCTCTGTGTGTGCCTATCCTGCTCCGCCAGTGTGAGTCCCTCCTGTAAGACCCAGAGAGGAAGTGGTCTGGGAGGGTGTTTCTGTAAGTTAGCGGGACACTTCTGCATATGAACTCAGTGGCCTGGCGCTGGGGAGTCCCAGGGACCGTGGCCTCAGAGCCTTTTCTGCCTGGGTTCCCCTGTCCCACCCGGCCCCTGTGCCCAGCCTCGGGGGCCCTTGGAGCTGTTACAGCCCCTGCCCTTCGGCCTCCCTCTTGCCCTTTGCCTGAGCTGGGCTGTCTCTGGGTGTTCGGGTCACTGGCTGACCCTGGACACCTCATGCTCTCCTCCTGCGGGGCCGTCTGTAATACAGGGTGTGGTCGAGGACCCAGCCATCGTCACTGGCTCAGGTGGGAGGCTGAGGTCAGGGGGCATAGCCAATTGGCGCAGGCCTGGGCAGCCGTGGCAGGAGCGTTTCTGCACTTGGGGGTTGCTGGCCACTGGGTCTGCCCACGTGAGCCCCTCTCCACAGGAGTTGCCCTGTGCTGACTCTTCTCTTCCTGCCTCGTTGGCAGTTGCAGGCACCATCTTGCCAAGGACCTGTCCTGGGGAATTGGCCTTTCTGCCTCTTTGCTCATTTTGCTTTTGTGCAAGACCGCAGAGTGGAGAGAATTCCCTCCTGGCAGCCTGTTAGGCATGCTGACCTCTCCTCACACTTCTGTGTGTGTGTCTGTGTGTGTGTACGTGTGTCTGTGTGTGTGCATGTGTGAGTGTACGTGTGCATGTGTGTGCATGCATGCATGTGCTTGTGCTCGTGTGCACACAAGTACATCTGCACACACGTCTGCATGTGCGTTTCTGTGTGCACGTCTGCGTGAGCACGATTACACGTGTATCTGCATGCACATGTGCATGTGTGTCTACATGCATGTGTGTACGTGTATGTATACGTGTGTGTATGCTTGTGCGCATGTCTGCACGTGTGTGAATGTATCTGCATGTGTATGCATGCATGTGTGCATCTGTGTGCACTCGAGTGTGCACGCGTATGTTTGCACACACGTGTCTGGTTGCGTGTATGTCTCCATGAGCATGTGTCTGTGCATGCACGTATCTGCGTGCATGTGCATGCACACATGTGCGTGTCTGTGAACATGTGTGTGCACACGCATTTGTGCACATGTGTGCATGCATGTCTGTGTGTATCTTGTGTGTATCTGCAGGCACTTTTGTGTCATTGCATGCGCACACATCTGCACGTGCGTGTCTGTGTACACGTGTGTGTACATGTGCACGTCTGTGTGCATGTGTCTTCACTCACGTGTCCGTGTGCATGCACGTGTGTCAGTGTGCACACACACATGTGTCTGCATGCGTGTGAAGGATCTCTGCCTGGCAGCCTGGCAGTGGGAGCTCCAAGGTCTCTATGCACTTCCTTCCTCGAGCTGTCTCCTTCTTCCTGCTCTTCCTCCCCATTTGCCTGACCTATACCAGACACCATGGGGTGTGCGGGAAGCCCAGCCCTTTTCTGCCTTCTGGGAGCTTCCTCCAGCCAAAGGGGAAATCTGTGGGGATGGGGTGGGGTTAGTGCTGGGGGTGGTTAGTGCTGGGGGCGGTTAGTGCTAGGAGGGGGTTAGTGCTGGGAGAGGGGTTAGTGCTAGGAGGGGGGTTAGTGCTGGGAGGGGGTTCGTGCTGGGAGGGGGGTTCATCTGGGAGGGGGTTAGTGCTGGGAGGGGGTTTGTGCTGGGAGGGGGTTAGTGCTAGGAGGGGGATTCGTGCTAGGAGCAGGGCTGCTGGTAGGAGATGCAAAGGCCTGCATCCATCTGGGTCAGGTGCCCATTTCATAGATGAGGAACCCGAGGCTCAGAGGGTTTGAGTGGCTGGTCCACACAGATGCCTCCAGCTGGAGGCCTTGCAGCTGTTTCCCCATCAGGGTGAGAGGCTCCCTGTGGATCCAAGTTACTCACCTTTCTGGCCTCTGGCCTCCCAGCCTCTGGCATGCTTGTTGTGTGGGATCTGGAACAGATAAATTTTTTAAGTACCCACCTGGTGCCATCTCTGTTTTCCTACCAGAATAACTGCTTAAAAATAGAAAAAACCAGACAGCAAAAGAAATACTGGATCTTTATAGAAAGTCGGGGAAACTAAGAAAAGGCTTCAAGAAGATAATCAGTCGCCCGGAATCCCACCTCTCTCCTCAGTCTTACCTGTGTCAGACATCACTAATTGATTGCCACACACAGTGTCACTGAGTGTTCTAGGCAGATAGAACTGATTGATTGGGATTGATACACATGTGAAACCTGACTTGTTTTCTTGTGTGAAAGGTTTGGTTCAATTTTTGTTTCTTTTTTATTTTTTACATTTTAACGTTTCTGAAATCAGGATGTAGTTGACAAACAGGGCACGTTTAATTAATTTGTTGGTGCTCAGTGTGTCCCTGAATGGGATTTTATTAGAGAAGCAAAGTTTTATCTGAGGTTTGTCCTGACTTTTGTCTTTGGTTATGTCTGTGACATCTTACAAAAGAAAACCCCCACATACGTGTTGTGGTTAGACGCTTTGCTTTGAAACCCGTACTTGGCCTTGTGGGCCGGCAGCATTTGGCCCCATCGCCCTTCCTCCCCGATGCGGGATATGGGCCCCGATCTCGGACACAGAAGCTTTGCTCACACACCCACGTCCCTCAGATGGAGGGTTAGGCCGTGCCTGTTTGCGGTGTTCCCTGCTGACACTGCTCTGTTTTCACGAATATCACCACCCCCTGTGCGTTTGTCACCTGATCTTCACCCTGCTCAGTTTCCGTCTTGATCTCTGTGGACAGGAAGGACCCTCTCTCCTTCCGTGTTACCTGCCTGGCAGTGGTGCCAGAGGGCTGTGGGTGGGAGCGGGTCTCCTGCTGAGCCAGGTCTCCTGCTGAGCTGGGTCCCTTTATCAGAGGCGGGCAGTGCCAGCAGCTGGGCCTGTCCTAACCAGCCTCGTAGCCCTGCACAGGCAGCGGGCTCTCCCAGGCTCGCTTGTTCCATCTGGAAAGTAGGCGTGATCTACAGAGCTGTGGGTCTAAGTGAGATGCACACCTCTGTGCTCACCCACACCCGCCTTCCCCCGCTCCCTCCCCTCTGCCTCGAGGCGGCCTCAGAGGACCCTGCTCATAAGTGTCGCCTGATGCCAGCCCTCCAGACTGGCTGCTCTGTCTCTCTCTGGGTGTCTGCGATGCCCACCAGTGCTGCTTCAGGCAGGAAAGCGTGATGTGTGTTGCCAGTTTCTCGCCTCAGATGGCAAGCCCTTAAGCGTTCTGTGCCTCAGTTTCCCCCGGCTACCATGTTGAGATGTGGCGAGCGTTGGCCAAGTTGGTATGTATGAAGCCCTGGGAACAGTGCCTGGTGACTCACAGAGGTCCGTGTGTGGCAGGGGACCGAGAGCCAGGACACGTTTGTCACATTCCATGTGAGAAGCCTAACGTTTGCCCACCGTGTATCCCGCTCCCTGCTCCGGGCCCGGGCTTTTGTGTGTGATCTTGGGATCCTCATGTCCATTTTGCAGCTAGGAAAACTGAGGCTCAGAGGAGTTAAGCAGCTTGTTGGAGCTGACATAGTCAGGATATGGTGGAGCTGGGTGGCTCCGTTTCGGCTGCAGAGTGGCTGGTGCGGGTGGGTGGCTGCAGGCTGATGCTCACGTGCTCCTGTCCTCTCCCTTCAGGATGTTGGGCTGCTGGAGTACCAGCACCACCCCCGAGACTACGCCTCCCACCTGTCGCCCAGCTCCATCATCCAGCCCCAGCGGAGGAGGCCCTCCCTGCTGTCGGAGTTCCAGCCTGGGGGCGAAAGGTGAGCGGGCTGGCCGCCTCTGACGATGGGGCGATCGGGCGATGGGGCGTGGGGCTGCGTGCCTGCCTCTGTCCTGCTGTGGCCTCGCGGCCTGGGTGGGCGGGGCAGGGGAGAGCCACGTGACCCTCGCATGGACACCTGTGGACCTTTGGCAGCCTGAGTGTCAACAAGACCTGGGTGGATTGGGACCGTGGCTGCATGGAGCGTGTATCAGCCAGGGTTCTCCAGAGAAACAGAACCAATATGAGATGTATGTATACACACACACACACACACACACATAATTGTGTGAGTATGTATGTGTACATATGTGTGTATGGATTGCGTATATATGTGTGTATATATGTAAGTGTATGTATATATAACGTATGGATGTGTGTGTGTATATATGTATGCGTATTTCTATAGATATGTGTGTATGTGTGTGTGTATACTTGTGTATGGATGTGTGTGTGTACATGTACACGTACGTATATGTGTGTGTGTGTATATATACATATACATGTATGTATATGTACATACGTATCTGTATGGACGTGTGTATGTATATATGTGTACACATGTCTGTATATAAGGAGCCCTGGTGGCACAGTGGTTAAGAGCCCAGCTGCTAACCAAAAGGTTGGCAGTTTGACTCCACCAGTACTTCTTGGAAACCCTATGGGACAGTTCTCTTCTGTCCTCTAGGGTCGCTATGAGTTGGAGTAGACTCAATGGCTTGGGATTTAGTTTGGTTTTTGGTATGTATATATGTATGTGTGTGTGTATATATATATATACATGCATGGCTGAATATCACTTTGAGGACTAAGGTGCTCCTGACCTAAGCCATGGTGTTTCCAGTCGCCTTATATGCATGCGAAAGCTGGACAGTGAGTAAGGAAGACTGAAGAAGAATTGATGCCTTTGAATTATGGTGTTGACAAAGAATATTGAACATACCATGGACTGCCAGAACAGCAAATAAATCAGTCTTAGAAGAAGTATAGCCAGAGTGCTCCTTGGAAGTGAGGATGGTGAGATTTGGTCTCATGTACTTTGGACATGTTATCAGGAAGGACCAGTTCCTGGAGAAGGACGGCACACTTGGTAAAGTGGAAGGTCAGCGAAAAAGAGGAAGACTCTCAATGAGATGGATTAACAGTGGCTTCAACAACGGGCTCAGACATAGAAACGATTGTGAGGGTGGCACAGGATTGGGCAGTGTTTCGTTCTGTTGTACACAGGGTCACTATACATCAGAAACAACTCCACGGAACCTAACCACAACAAGAAGAGTGTGTGTGTGTGTGTGTGTGTCTGTGTGTCTGTGTGTCTGTGTGTGTCTGTGTGTGTGTGTCTGTGTGTGTCTGTGTGTGTCTGTGTGTGTCTGTGTGTGTGTGTGTGTGTGTGTAGCTGGCTGGGGTGGCCAGGATAGGCCCCTCAGAGGAGAGACGTTAGGCCGCCTACCACTCAGTGAGCTGTGGAAAGGCATTTCAAGCAGAGGGAACAGCAGATGCAAAGGCCCTGAGGTGGGAACAGGGGTGGAGGGTGCACACAAATTGCCCAGGATCTTGTTAAAATGCAGTCTGACTCCGTCGGTCTTGGGTGGGCCTGCCATTTGATGTCTCTAACCAGCTCCAGCTGGGGCTGAGGCTGCTGGTCCTCGGGCCGTGCCAAGTAGTGAGGGTGGAGAATCTCTGAGTGGTGTCCAGGTGCCAACCCCAGTGAGTGCTGTTCCCACAAACGCTGTCAGTGAGCATGGACTCACTGGCCGGCACAGCTGGGATAAGGGTCCTGCCTCACTGTGACTGCGGATATATGCTCACATGGGAACTTTCCTCGAAGGCACACGGTAGGCACTCGGCTGGGGTGGGCCGCAGTGCCGGGGCCTCAGGAGGGTCCTGGGGGTCGCAGAGCCTTGTTCTTCCTGCCCGATGCCGTGTACCTTGCCCCCGCAGGTCCCAGGAGCTGCACCTGCGACCTGAAGGCCACTCGTACCTGCCGGAGCTGGGCAAGCCGGAGCTGGAGTTCATCGAGAGCAAGCGCCCGCGCCTCGAGCTGCTACCTGAGCCCCTGCCACGGCCCTCGGCCCTGCTGGCCACAGCCCAGCCCGGCGGCTCCGAGGACCTGGCCAAGGTAAGTCTCGTCCTCCTGCCTGAGGGCTCTGCTGCCAAGGGGGCAGGTAGGAGGGTAGGAGCCAGCAGGCCAGGCTGAGGGACATTTTGGGCAAAGGCTGGAGGTGGGACCAAGGGCGGGGTAGCCAGAGGTGGGTTTAGGAGTGAGATGGCTCTGCCATTGGCCAGGGGGTTTGGCCTGGCCCTGGGGAGCCACCCCTCCTCCTGAGTGGGGCTTGAGGGGTGGTGGGAGCCCACCACAGCTTATCTCGGGGGTCTGCTGGTGGGCCTGGGCAGGAATTCACCCATGGTAGTGGGATGCGCAAGCACACGTCTTCTTCTGGAACCCTCTCTTGGTGGCCTAGTCTGACTTGACTGGTCAGCCCTGGATTCTGTGGTCTGGGAGAGCGGACAGCGCCCTGGGGGTCTCCCTGCACTCAGAGACGCTCAGCCTGGGTGACGCTGAGGCTTCCGTCCGTCTCCACATTCCCTCGCTTGTCCTGCCTGGGCCTGGGGCTTCCTGGGCCGAAGGGTCCAGGCCAGGGAGGGAGGTGGGGTCCTCTTGTCTGCCTGCTGCCTGGTGGGCTGAATGGTGGAATTTCAGGCAGAGGCAGGCCTTTATTGGGGGTGGGGGCAGCACAGGAGAGCGGTTCCCAGGGTGGTGAGGAACATGCTGACAACGTCACGTTAATTGAGCATTTACTGTGTGCCAGGTATTGTGCCAGGCACCACCAGTGTTACTCCCTCGTACCTTCCCAGGTCAGCAAGGTCAGAGCTGTGATCCCCTTTTTAGAGAGGGGTCTTCAGGCTGAATTGGTGGGAGGCACCCACCCACATCAGAGAGCTGGGAGGTGTAGGACACGGGTCCGGGCCCAGGTGACTACGCCACAGCCCACCCGATCACAGGGCACTGCCCACGCTGGTCTCCCAGGTGCCACCCTCTTCCCATGCCCGTGATGCCGCCATGAGCACCTTGGCCGGCTGCCTCCTCTCTGGAGCTCTGTGGGACTGTGGAGGGCGGGGGAGCGGTACTCAGCCTCCCCTGGGGTGGTTCCCCTTGGAGTGGGTCTTGGATGGGTGCCAGGGAAAGGGGCGCGGGGCGCGCTGAGGCTGTTTCCTCCTCTTCACTGATACCCCGACGCCTGGTTCTCACGTGCCCCAGTTTGCCATCACAGCCCAGAGAAGGGGCGTCTCTGCTGCCCCAGCCCGCCCTCCGTGGCTGCTTTTCACCTAGGGGCTCGGGAGTCTCAGGCTCCTCGGAGGGGCTCCCTGACCCCTGTTAACCCCTGTCACCCCTGCTCATTTCTCTGCCTGGTCAGCTTGTTCCCTCCTTGGTGGGGCTCCCTCTCCTGGGGACACCCTCTGCTCCATGGGGTCTGTCTCTCTGTCTTTGTCTCCGTGTCTCTCTTTGCCTGAGGGGGGTGTGTTTTGTGCCTCCCCCTCTGTCTCTGTCTGTCTCCTGTTGTCTCTGTTTCTCTGTCTCTCTCTTTGTCTTTCTCTGCCTCTGTGCTTCTGCTGCTTTCTCTGTTTGTCTCCCGCTTTGTGTCAGCCTCTCTCTTCCTGGACCTGGTGAGGGAAGCCAGGGCCCAGAGCTGGGGCCTGGCTGGATGACTGCTGTAATTGCTTCAGGCTGTCTAAGAGCATTTGGAAAGTTTGAGCAAATTCTGGGCAGGGGAGGAAGCCAGGGGAGAAGCACAACTCTGAGAGTGTTCAGATGTGTTTTCCATCTGCTTCATGGAATTCAGCTGGATGCACGAGACAGTAATTTGATGGGTCCTTGTAACAGAGCTTGCTCCAGCCCTTTTGCCCAGCCACGGTGGCTCTGTGGGGTGGATGAATGTGTGACAGGGACCCCGTTTCTGCCGTGGGGGCCCCTACAGCTTGGCTGTCTGCTTCGCCTGCTGCTGAGAGTAAGGACTGAGGTCCAGCCCCTCCCCTCCTGCACATGCTGAGCCAGTGGCTCCATGACTTCATGGCTGGGTGACCTTGGGCACATCATTGAGCTGTTCTGGGCCTCAGTATTCTCATCTGTAAAATGGGAATAACAGTATTCTTACTTCCCCAGGTAGTTGCAAAGATCACATGAGTTAAGATTTATGCATTGTTTAGAGCAGAGGTTGGCAAACTATAGTCTCAGGCCAAATCCGGTCCCCAACCTGTTTTTGTAAATAAAGTTTTATCAGAACACAACCCTGCCCATTCGTTTATGTATTGTCTGTGCCTGATTCTGTGCTATAGTGGCAGAGACCGTCTGGCCAGCAAAACCTGAAATATATTTGCCATCTGGTGCTTTGTAGACAAAATTTGCCAACCACTGGACATAGGACTCTGGGTTCTCAGTTTTTTCATCTGTAAAATGGAAATGAAATAGCAACCTTCCCCCTACACCCGTAGGGCGGTGTGAGGACCCGGTGATGGCGTGTGGAATGCTAAGGGCTGGGATGGGCTGAGCGATGAGTGGTGGTACCTGGCTTAACTTCCACGGTGTACCTGGTGGAGGGTGCCCTAGGAGAGCAAGGAGGGCCACGTGGGGTGGGTGGGGCTTTGGGGTATTTTCTACCTTTTCGAGGGAATTCTGGGTGTAGGGGCCTGGGAGTCCAGACTTCGGCTCTTCCCACGTGTCAGGTGTGGACAGCGAGGCCAGGACGCAAACCCACTGTGAGCCCGAAATCCTCAGCCCTGTCCAGGCCTTGGCAGGGATCTGTGGGGTTGGGGCAGAGACCCTGGGCATGGGAGGGTAGACGTAAGATGGTTTGGCCCCCAGTCATCCTGAGTGCGGGCTGAGGTGGGGGGCACTTGGCAGGCCTCGGGGCTGCAGTTGTCCCAGGGAATAATGTGTCCTGTGTCCTGTGGGTGGCAGCTGCTGTGGGGGCAGGGAGGCGGCGGCCTGGCACTCCTCCCGGGCCGCCTCCACCAGCAGCTGCCGGCTTGGCCCTGACGGATGGCACCACGCGGGGGCTTGGGTTACGCGCACGCTGCCAGGCCTGGAGCCCGGGTGTTGGGGTAGGACAGTCACAGCCAGTGCTTGCTGAACGCTTACGGTGTGCCAGGCTCTGAGCCGAGCACTTTGCACGTTCTAACTCTAATCCTGGGAGGTGGGAACTGTTACTGTCCCCATTGTACGGGTGAGGGAGCTGAGGCAGGGAGCGGGTGAGTGTTCTGCTTGCAGGCCCAGGGCCGGGAGGTGGCGGGGATTTGAACCCAGGCAGCCAAGCTCCAGAAGTGGGCACTTCTGCTCCTCCCCGCACACAGGCAGCACTGCCGGATGCCCAGCAGCTTTGTTTGGGGGAGGAAAGAGGCAGTGAGTCACTGACTTGAGGGTTCCCTTGTTTAACACATTTTTCAAAAACAACTATTACACAAAGAGTAACCCTCAGTGAAGGAAAAATCAGAAGACGACTCGTAAGTAAAAAGAAGAAAGTGAGAACACCTCCCCTTTCTGCTCAGATAACCACTGTTAACATCCATGTTTCCCGTTCTCATAGTTTTTCTGTGTGTTTGTGTATGCACGCGTACTTTTACAAAAGCGGGTTGTGTTGTATATGTTGTTGTTATTGGGTGCTGGCGAGTCAATTCTGACTCAGAGCAGCCCCCTGTGACAAAGGAGAACTGCCTCATAGGGTTTCTAGGCTGTAACCTTTACAGACGCAGATCACCAGGTCTGTCTTCTGCGGAGCTGCTGGGTGGGTTTGAACCGCCAGCCTTTTAGGTTACCAGCTAAGCGCCTTACTGTTGCACCACGAGGCCTCCTTGTGGTGTATATAACTCAACCTACTCAGTGCCGTTGAATTAATTCATGTTGACCTTATAGGACAGAGTAGAACCTGCCCCATAGGGTTTCCAAGGAGCAGCTGGTGGATTTGAACTGCCAGCCTTTAGGTTAGCAGGCGAGCTCTTAACCACTGCTCCACTAGGGCTCCTATATATAGTGCTGTGTGTAGTGTTTCTTAATTGGCTTGTTGGGATTGGGCATGGTGAATAAATGTTTATGGAGGGCCTGCTGAGGGCCAGGCCCACGGAGACAGAGGTTGTGGGATCCTGGATCCTGTTGCTGGGGAGTTTGATCTGGTGGGGAGGACATAGATGAGGTAGGAGGAGTAAGAAAGACGTGTGCTAATGGGGAAAGGGAGGGAGGAGGGCGTCCTGCCTTGAGGGGAGGTTGGGAAAACTTTCATGTAAGAGGAGGCGTTTGAACTGAACCTGGAAGGATGTAAAGGATTTTGATCTTCGGAGAATGGGCTGAAGGGCTGGGAAGGGTGCACCCAGCAGGAGGGCCAGTGCCGGCAAAGGCAGGGAGGTAGGACAGGAGCATGACGTCTGATGTGCTGGGGGCCTGAAGTCAGGGTCTGAAACGGGGGCTGTATTTGAAGGGGGTTGCTGGCTGGGGCGCCCCCTTTACTGACCCCACACCTGCTTTCTCTCTGTCACAGGACCGTAGCCTGACGGGCAAACTGGAGCCGGTGTCCCCGCCCAGCCCCCCGCACACTGACCCTGAGCTGGAGCTAGTCCCTCCGAGGCTCTCCAAGGAGGAGCTGATCCAGAACATGGACCGCGTGGACCGCGAGATCACCATGGTGGAGCAGCAGATCTCCAAGCTGAAGAAGAAACAGGTGCGGGCAGGTGAATGGGTGGGGAATGGGGACTTAGAGCCTCTGATCCAACAGCAGCGAGGACGGTGAAGGTAAGTAACACCGATAACAGTAGTAGCAAACACGTGTGAGCACTTCTCATGTGCTAGCTCATTTTTATGCCCTTTACATTTATTAGACAAGAACACTGTATGGAGCAGCACCGTCCAGTATACCTGTAATGGTTCCAGGCCCCGTTTCCCCTTTGTGTGTGAAGCAAGTCCTGGGAAGATACCCTGTCAGAAGCCCGGTGTCCTGGAAGTCTGAGCCCCAGGTTCCTAGAAACATCCAGATTGCCTGCCTGGGCCACCTTTTTTCCCCAGATTTGGCCCAAATTGACCTTTTCCTACCAGCGTCCCTGCCCAGATGCCTCTTCCCACCTGTTCCCATGGCTCCCTCCTTGGAATCATCCAAGCTTCCAGTCAAATGTTCCCTTCCCCAGAGAGCCCCTCCGTGGATCTTTAAACATCCTTTAGCCATATTCTGTCCCAAGAAACAAACCCATTGCTGTTGAGTCGATTCTGACTCACAGTGATTCTATAGAACAGAGTAGAACTGCCCCATAGGGTTTCCAAGGCTGTAAATCTTTACAGAAGCAGACTGCCACATCTTTATTCCACGGAATGGCTGGTGGCCTCGAACCACCAACCTTTTGGTTAGCAGCCAAATGCTTTAACCACTGCGCCACCGTGGCTCCTTTATGTTCTTTCCCACACACACACACAAAAACAAACAAACAACCATATCTGTTGCTGTCGAGTCCATTCCGAATCACAGCGACCCTGTAGGCCAGGGCAGAACCTGCCCATAGGGTTTCCAAGGAGCAGCTGGTGGATTTGAACTGCCGACCTTTTGGTTGTCAGCCAAGATCTTAAACCACTGCGCCACCAGGACCCCGTGTACCTCAAATCTAGCCAAATGCAGCTGGCTGCCTGTTTTTGTAAATAAAGTTTTATTGGAACATAGCCACACCCACTCCTTTCTATATCACCTATGGCTGCTTTCCCCCTCTACCAGCCTGGTGGCCTGCTGAGGTGAAAATACTTACCCTCTGAGCCTTTACAGAGAAAGTTTGCCGACCGCTGGTCTGTGTCGTTCCCATGCTTCAGTGACTTCCTCACCTGAATCACTGTGCATCCTGCTTTGTGACGGAGTGGTCTTCTCCCTGTTAGGATAGAAAGCAGGGCCTGTTTCCTGTTAACTGTGGTGCTCCTAGCACAGTGCCTACACATAGTAGGTGCTCATTAAAACTGCTAACTGTGGTGCATCTAGGCTACTGAAGGACTCGGGGTCCCACCTGGCCCCTCCACACAAGAGCTGTGGGCTCTGTGTGGGATCAGGGGCCCACTGTGACTGCTGTGAGTGGTGAAGGCTGTGAGAGAGGGCTTCCTGGAAGAGGAGCTGCGTGTGTTGGGTTGAAGGATGTACAGGGAAGGAGGGCATCGATCCCAAGGGGACCATCAGGCTGTCACTAGCAGCTGGGATTTCAGGGACAGTCCAGCAGCTGGGCCTGGTCGTTGAGTCCAGACCAGCTGACCCAGACCTCATGGGGCTGTTGGCGGGTTTCCAAGATGGTGGCCCAGGCACTGGGGCAAGTGGCCGAGCCGTGGGGAGGCCCCCAGGGTGTCAGTGCCGTTTCCTCCTACAGGCCTGGCTGTGGGGCAGAGCTGAGCTATAGGTCATGTGCTCATGTTTGTGGCTGGGGCCGGAAGCCAGGTGGCTCAGGGGCAGCCCTCGATTGGACACTTTGTATTTTATTTTATTTTTTTCAACTCCACTTTGGCATTTTTTTTTAAAAAAGTGAAATTGATATACAAGTTTAACCATTTTAAAGTGGACATTTCAGTGGCATTTAGTACATCTACAGTGTTGTGCAAATGTCACCTCTACCTAGTTCCAGGACATTCTCATCACACCAAAAAGAAACCTCGTGCCCATTAGCAGTTACCTCCCACGCAACATCCCCCCGTCTGCCCCGGCACCCCGTCCCCTGGCATCCACCAGTCTGTCTTCTGTCTCTGTGGATTTGCCTGTCCTGGACATTTCATATCAATAGAATCCTACAAGATGCAGCCTTTTCTGACGGATCTCTTTCACATAGCATCTTGTTTTCGAGGTTTTCCATGTTGTGCCATCGGTCAGTACTTCATTCCTTTTATGGCCCAATGATACTCCTGTATGGACGTACCACATTTTCTTCATCCACTCGTTGGTTAATGGACACTGGGTTGTTTCTCCCTTTTGGCTACTGTGAACAGTGCTGCTGTGAGCATTTGTCTACAGGTTTTAGTTTGAGTTATCTGTTTTCAATTCTTTGGGTGTATACGTGGGAGTGGAATTGCTGGGTCATGGGATAGTTCCATATTTAACTGTTTGAGGACCTGCCACATTGTCTTCCATGGCAGTGGCATCATTTTCCATCCCCCCCAGTAATGGATGAGGGTTCTGATCTCTCTACAGTCTCACCAACATTTTCCGTTTCTTTGATCATAGCCTTCCTAGTGGGTGTGAAGTGCTGTCTCATTGTGGTTTTGCTTTGTATCAGATACCATTTTTTTATCAAGCCCCTGCTGTGAGGCAGGATTTTTCTTGCATTATCTCCTTTTTTTTTTTTAAATAATAATATTTTATTGTGTTTTCGGTGAAGGTTTACACATCAGATTAGGCTCCCATTCAACAATTTCTACACAAGTTGTTCAGTGACCTCGGTTACATTCTTAGCAACGCATGAACATTGTCATTATATTCGTTCTGGTTGTTCCATTTCCATTAGCCTAGTTTCCCTGCCCCCTTACTTTCTGATCTTTGTTTTAAAGTAACTGACCATTTGGTCTCATATAGGTGATTTTTTTAAAGGAGCACAGTACTTACAGGTGATATTCTTTATTTTTTTATTGTGCTTTAAGTGAAAGTTTACAATTCAAGTTAGTTTCTCATACAAAAATTTATACACGCATTGTTATGTGACCCTAGTTGCTCTGTCTATACTGTGACAGCACATTTCTCCTTTCCACCCCGGATTTCCCGTGTCCATTCAACCAGCTCCTGACCCTCTCTGCCTTCTCATCTCGCCTCCGGACAGGAGCTGCCCATTTAGTCTCATGTATCTACTTGAGCTAAGAAGCACATTCTTCGCGAGTATCATATTATGTCTCATAGTCCAGTCTAATCTTGGTCTGAAGAGTTGGCCTCGGGAATGGTTTTAGTTCTCGACTAACAGAAGGCCCAGGGGCCTTGTCGTCTGGGTCCCTCCAGTCTCAGTGAGACCATTAAGTCTGGTCTTTTTACTAGAATTTGAGTTCTGCACTGTACTTTTCTCCTGCTCCATCCGGGACTCTCTGTTGTGTTCCCTGTCAGGGCGGTCACTGGTGGTAGCTGGGTACCATCTAGTTCTTCTGGTCTCAGGCTGATGTAGTCTCTGGTTTATGTGGGCCTTTCTGTCTCTTGGGCTAATATTTTCCTTGTGCCTTTAGTATTATTCATTCTCCTTTGCTCTGGATGGGTTGGAATAGTCTTTATTTTTTTAGCCAACCTGTTACTTAGCTACAGCATGACCACAGGGTTTAGTTTCAGTTCAAGGTTTGTAGAGTACCTCAGGGCAATAGTCTTGGGGAGTCCTCCAGTCCCAGTCAGTCCAGTAGATCTGTATTTTTTTAGGAATTTGAGGTTCTGTTTCACATATTTTCTTCTATCAGGGTCCATCTGTTGTTGCCCTGGTCAAAACGGTCAGTCGTGATAGCTGGGCACCATCTAGTTCTTCTGATCTAAGGGTCGATGAGGCCCATGCATTATCTCCTTTACTCCTCAAAGCACCCTTATGTGGTAGGCACTGTTACTCCCCCAGTTTCACAGAGGAAGACATTGGGGCTCAGAGAGGTACAGTGACTTGCCAAAGGCCACACAGCTGTTGAATAACGGCTTGAATGAGGACCCTGGGTAGTGCAAGTAGTTTGTGATTGGCTGCTGAAACAAAGTTACCTAGTGGCTTTACAGAAGAAAGGCCTGGTAACCTGCTTCTGTAAAGATTACAGCCCAGAAGGACCCACGGACAGTTCTGCTCTGCACGTGGAGTCACTGTGGTTTGGAATCGACTTGATAGCAGCGGGTTTTTTTTTTTTTTTTTTTTTTCTTTCAGAGTTTGGCATTTCCGTCTTAGCTGACCATGTGTTCTATGTAATATTTTTCTCCGGTGCCTGAGGGAGGGCCACCTTCACTGTTGGTGGAGACTTTGCCCTCTGCACACCCTTTCTGGCTGTGTGCTTCTTCCATTTCTCTGGCTTCACTTGATGTGCACTTTTAGGGGTTTGCAGTGTTTTGCCAAGGAGCCCTGGTAGTGCAGTGGTTAAGCACTTGGCTACTAACTGAAAGGTTGACGGTTTGAACTCACCCAGCAGCTATGTGAGAGGAGGACCTAGAAATCTGCTCTTGTAAAGATTACAGCCTAGGGAACCTTGTAGGGTGGTGCTACTCTGTCATACAGGGTCGCTGTGAGTCAGAATCTACTTGAGGGCAACAGCATTTTGCCTGGTGCTAACTGTCCTTCCAAAAGCCCCCACCAGGGGTCTCTGTGGGATCGTGGCAGCTTGGCTAAACCAGCCCGGCTTTTCCTAGGCCTAGGCAACAGGATTGGCTCTAAAACCAGCCAACCATTTGTGACAGCAGAAGCCAGGACTCTGGATTTTCTGGCTCTTTCTAGATTGCCCTCCTCTGGGTGTCTTTCTCAGTTCATAATGATCTGCTCCTTGGTCACGTGCAGGCCACGTTAGCATTACAGGCAGAGAGCAGTGTTCCAGTCTCACTCGTGATGTCCTATCAGGGTGCTGATTTGGACATTGATTGGCCTCTGTGACTTTTGGCCAGGATCTTAACCTCTCTGGTCTTCAGTTTCCCTCTTGGGCGTAAAATATTCAGTACCACTAAGGAATGTCCTTTTTGAAAGTGTTTGGAGGAAGAGTCCAGTGTGAAGAGCACAGGTAGACAGTGAGGGTAAAATAATGAGAAGCTGGTTCCTGAGTGCTCACATGTACCCAGCACTGAGTGCTCTGTGTGCACTAGCTCATTTTATCCTCCACCAGCTCTGCAGGGTAGGGACTTTAATTGTCCCCATTTTCCAGATGTGGAAAGCAAGGCTCAGAGAAGTTCAGCAACTTCCTGTAGACAAAGTAGGTTTCTAATATTGGCAGTTTGACCCCCGAGTCTACACTGTCAGTCCTGACAATGACGACGATACTTGTAGTAATAATAATGGCTGGCTTTTAGTGGCCCCTGCTCTGCTATGCCTGGGTTAACTCATTGAATCCTCACCACCACACTAAGACGGAGGCACGATGATTGGCTCCATTTCACAGAGGAGGAAACTGAGGCACAGAGAGGTTAAGCTGCACGCTCACCTAGCTGGAAAGTCACAGAAGTGGGATTTGAACCTGAGAAGGATGGCACCAGAGCCTGGAGGCTGGAGTCAGCCCCTGAGCTGAGCCCTTCCTCAAGGGAGTGGGGGCTGTTCCAGGGCACGGGGTCCCCGGGGCTGACTCAGAGGAAATGGTTAGTAGCCTGACTTCCTGTACGAGGCCACCAGGCTGGGCCGCAAGGGGGCCACCCGCTGCAGCCGGGGAGGTTGCATCTCCTCCTTCCGCCCGCCCGCTGCGCTTACTGCTCATGCTCTCTCCATTTCCCACAGCAACAGCTGGAGGAGGAGGCCGCCAAGCCACCCGAGCCTGAGAAGCCCGTGTCGCCGCCGCCCATCGAGTCGAAACATCGCAGCCTGGTACAGATCATCTATGACGAAAACCGGGTATGCCTGCTGGTCCCACCCGGCCCCACTGGGTCCCCACCCCCCCACTGGTTAGCCACCTTCTCCTGTGGGTGTCACCTTGAAGGCTGTGGTTCCCGTTCTGGGCCTCAGTGTTCCCATCTGCAAAATGGGCCCACAGCACCTCTCCTGCCCCGAGACCGGTTTGTGAGTGGCTTGGGGAGGGGTGGCTGGCAGAGACCATCCTGGTGTGGCTGCTGGGCACAGAGCTGCTGAGCCTGGGGACTGGTATGGACCGAGCCCTGGCCTGTGGGGTGTATTGGGCCCTAGGAGAGCATGGGGGGCCAGCTGATCAGCTTGAGGATGGGGCAGTCATTTCAGGCACTTGCTTAGAAGAAAGTCCCGTAACGCAGAAGATGAAGATATTATCATCAGTAATGTTAAATGAGCAGATCCCCCCACCAGGTGGTGGGCCAGGACTTTTACATAGTAGTGCTAGGAGGGCAGGTAGGGCAGTTGTTTCTGTTTCACACATGGAAACTGAGTGAAACTGAGGCCCAGAGAGGTTAAGTTCACAGCGTGGAAGGGCTGGGCCTGGGATTTGAACTGGTGGCTGTCCGACTCCAGGGCCTGGTTCTTTAGCCCCAGCCTCCATTGACACTTGGCCCAGAAGCGCCCTTGAATGGTTGAAACACAGGGTCTGGAGCAGGCTGGGGGCCCCAGGGGATCCTGGGGGGGCAGCTGCTGGGTGTCGGGAGGGGACTTGGTATTGGAGGAGGGGCTCGGCCTGCCCCAAGGTGGAACCTGGTGTCTGTCTGGTGGGGTCCCAATGAGGCGGCTGCGAGCTCGACTCCATGATTTCAAGTCGACTTTTCCAAATGGGCTGGGGATCTGTGGGTACTGGGTCCCCTCCCTTATTTCATGGATGAGGAAACTGAGCCGAGAGCGAAGCATGACAGATGGGGGGACCTCCCCTCTCTGCCTTGACTCCTCTGTTCTCCCCTCCTGCCTCGGGTGCTGGGGCCACCTTCCTGCTGTCTCTGCCGTGGAGTCTGCCCCTGGCCAGCTCAGTGCCAGAGTCAGATTGAGAGGTGCAGCCGGTGTCCCTGGGGCCTGGAGGACGCTCTGGTGACTATGGGAGGAGCCCCAGGCAGGGAACTTCCGGGTCGGCTGGTGCGGCTACCCCTTCGCCTCTGGAAGCAGTAATATGATACAGGATGAACCCAAATGGCTGGGACCCAGGAGGTGTGTGCTCAGCTTTGCAGGGTGGGACAGCCAGACCCACGCGCCCTGTCCCCATCCTGAGCAACACTGGTAGCAGTGGGAATGATGGGAGAACCCCTGTCCACCCCAGACTTGAAGCATAGAGGGCTCAGGAGTCGCACCTCAGTCTCTTCCTGGCTCTGTGACCTTGAGCAGTTGACGTAACCTGCTGTGACTCTCGTTCCTCACCTGCTGAGCGACGGTAATTACGGCACCTAGCTTGTACGGGCGGCGGCATTAGGAGTTCGTCACACAGTGCCTTGAGGACAGCGCCTGGCCGAGCAAGCCTCAGCTGCCGCTGCTGCTGTCATCGTTGTTCTTTTCTTCTTGTTCACCTTTTCGTGAGTTCATGTAATCCTCGCCAGACCTGTATGAAATAGGTAGTGTTGTTATCTCCATTTCACTCGTGAAGAAATTGAGGCCCAGGGAGAGAAGGTGACCTGCCTGAGACTGTACAGCACGTGAGCTTTGAGGCTGGGTCCTGGAACCAAGATTGAGCTGTGCCAGGAGCCTTTGGTGGAGAGGAGAAGGGCAGGCCTCCTGGGAGGCTCACCCTAGTCGGCACCTCTCTCGGTCCATCCTCCCTGATCCTGGGGTGGAGATCAGGCACGGTTCTCTCCAGCAGCTATGGAGGCAGTGGGAACCTTGCTTAGGATGTCGCTGCAGTGCCCTGGACTCTCTCACTGCAGGCTCAGCCTGTTGGTGTTCAGCAGGCTGGGGTCCCAGCCCCCGCCAGCCAGGTGGCCTCAAAGGCATGGGTCTTTAGTGCCCCTTGAGGGAAGCTCATTCCTCCTTCCCCCAGCAGTTGGCTCCCATTTCCTTGGGGTTCATGTGAACAGTAATGTGAGGGTCCCCGTCCCTACCACCAGGTTCTCCAAGGGCACTGTGGTTGCAGATGTGACTGCTCTGCGGCTCCTGGGCCTCCTCAGTCCCATAGTACACTTAAGACAGCCTCCTCGTGGTTCTCACCTCGGGTGGTCTCCCTGCGAGTATTGCCAGCTCCACCTATCAGACCACCAGTTTTTGGCAGCTTCTGGGGAAGTAAAGGAGTGGGAGCTTGGGTTCCCGTCCAGCCTGTGCCCTGATGAGCCATGTGACTTAAAGCCAGTTCTTCAGATGCTCTGGGCCCCTGGCTGCTTTGTCGAGGTTGTGGAGTTGATATGGCCGAACTGGTGGCTTGAGGGGCTTTGTAAACTGTAAAAAGCTGTCTTAGGAAGGATCTGGTAGTTCAGGACTCTTGGATACAAGAGACAAAAGCTCAGCTCAAACTGGTTGAGTCTAAAGAAGAATTTATCCCGCCTAGTAATGAAAAGTTGGTGTTAGCTTGCTGCAAGTATGGGTGGATCCAGGTGCTCAAATGAAGATGTCTGGAAGCTCTCTCTCCTCTCTCTTTGTTTTCTTGGTACCGGTGTCATTCTCAGGCACCTGCCTCACCTCCTGCCTGCTGGGCTCCTGGGTCAGATGAGAAACCCCTCTTTCCCAGTTGTCTCGGCAGCAGTCCCAGAGTTGACTCTCGTTGGCTGGTTGCTTCTCACGTGCTCATTCCTGAGCCAATGCCAAGGCCAGAGGGTTTGTTTGACTACACTGATTGGTCATACCTGGGTCTTGGGTGTACCCCTTTGGTCTAGGGTAGAGTCAGCCACAGCCCTACTCCCTACCGCTCACCTCCAGGGACGAGAGTAGAGGAGGGACTTCCCCCTATGGGAGATCAGAGGCAGGGGAGAGGCTGAAGCCATGCCAGTGTCCTCCCCCTCCCTGACAGGACATGGCCCTCTCTCACCCAATGCCTCACCCTGGGCCTTTATGCCCATTATGCCTCATTTATCCCAGTGGTGGCCTGATGTTTATGGGAGGGCTGGCCCCACTCACTTTCAGAGGAGGAAACTGAGGCCCCTGAGGCCTTACAGCTAGCACGTGGTGGAACTGGGACTCAAACCCAGCTCCTGCCAGTCTAAGAGCAGGCCCTGCCTGGTAACTATAGGTGCGCTGAGGCACCTACTCGTACTGTTTGTTCATTCATTCATTCTCATTCATTCAACTGTATTGAGCCCCTGCTGTGAGCCTGTCTCTCTTACAGGCACTGGGATGCAGCGGTGACCTTGGCACCAGCCCACGCCTAATGCCTCTGGTGGGGGAACATAACGACATCCACAAGTCACCATGTGTAGATATATCCTTGCTCTGAGGAATTTTGCACCTTGTCCATTGGCCCTCTGTCCCCTTTCTCTCTTGTTTACCCCTCCCTCTGGCCCGCCCCACGGGCCTCCCTGCTCACCCTCAAGCACCCATGGTGCTGCGGCCTCAGGGCCTTTGCAGTGCCTTTCCCTCTGCCTGGAACGCCTTTCCCGACACGCGCACCCCGACATGCGCGTGGCTCTGTCTCACCGCCTCCGAGTTTTTGCTCAAATGCCCCCTTTACAGCGAGGCCTGACTGGACCCTGTAGTCAGTCCTGAGAACCTTCACCCTGTTTTCCTAACTTTATCTTCTCCTCAGTCCCCACAGGAGATGAGATACGTGGTACTTACTCTGTTCACTGTGAGTGGCAGCTGCCTGAGGGCAGGGTTCTGTTGCTGTCACTCCTGACCATGCGCAGCTCCTAGAACCCTGCTTGGCACAGAGCTGGCGCTCATTAAATATTTGTTGAATGGCTGTGTGGCAGGAAGGGAGGCGAGATGAGGCACCTGTGGCCAGTTCTTCCTTATGGCCCTGGTTTTTGGGATGTGGGGACTGTCCCCCTGGCCACGGTGGGGGTTAGCAGGGACCCTCTGCCAGAGCCAAACCTATGAGGTTGGGAGGCCAGGTGGGCAGGAGGTCCCCCACGCACGCCTGGCATTGACAGGAGGAGCCAGGGCTTACTGCCCCTTGAGGGATCAGTAGGATGAAATTTTCATCGCCATAAGTCAGAATCGACTCGACGGCAGTGGGTTTGGTTTTTTTGTTGTGGTGGTTTTATTTTTTTGTCTTTCCTTCCCTGCTGCTTTCTCTGAGCGGCAGAGCACCAGGGTCTGTCTGTAAACATCTCCCCGCCGGGCAGGGCTGGCCTGGCTCTCCTGCATCGGGCGACCGCTGGCTCATCATTCACGCGGGGCGTGTCGAGGAGGTGCCTTGTGGGTCAAGCTCTCCATGTGCTGCCTCTGTAGGCGGGTGGGAGGATGCTCACGCGGAAGCAATGGTGGGCTATGGCAAGGGAGTCTTCACTGGGGGTGACGGCACAGACAGAGGCCATGAGAGGGGAGCGTGGGTCCCCATTGATGTTACAGGGTGTGAGGAGGATGTGTGGACATACAGGCATGTGGCTGTGTGCAGCTGTGTGTACCCATGGATGTTAGCATCGGGGGCACGTGTGGTTATCTGCATTTGTATATCTGCATGTGCTTATGTTCTCCTGGGTGTGTGGCATGTATGTCCATGTGTGTATGTACACCCTCTCCTCACTTTTCGACATGGTTAGGTTCCAAAGACCAGGTTGTCATGCAAAATCAGTGTTATGCAAAAACGAAGGATGATCACATCAGATCACAAAATGGAGGATGGCTACATCATTACATAACTGCAGGCTTACATCATTATGTAACAGCCAAGTTACATCATTGCAGGGCTGCCAGATTACATCATTACATAAGTGCCAAACCACCGAGAATCACGGCCTGGCCAAGTTGACATATAACCTCAACCATCGAGGCCAACTTTAGTCTCACCTCACACCTCAGCGTTTATTGCTGCCAGACTTTCGTCGTTATGCGCAAATTAGTCAGGCAGTAGTTTTTTTACTATTGTCATAAACGCGAAACGTCAGATAAAGAGATAGTGGATACGAGCTGGCATGGGGGGCATGTGTGTGGTTATCTGCGTTTGTACATGTGCTTGTGTTCTCCTGGGTATGCATGTGGGTGTGTGGCATGTACGTGGGTGTGTGTGTGGGTGTGTGTTTGTAGTGGATGGGAGCTGGCATGGGGGCACATGTATGGACGCCAGTGTGTCCACACATCTAGGTGTATGTAGGTGGTCCGTGGAGGTGACTCAGGCCTCTGTTACCCTGGGCCCAGCCCCCCGAGCTCTAGCCCTCAGAGGCTGGCTCCCGAGGCCCTGGGGTCCCCTGCAGGAGTACCGTCTCTTGAGTGAGACCCCACCCAACCCCCTGCTCGCCCAGAACAGAAACGGATCTGTCGCTCTGAGCCTCTAGCACGTGTGCTGCTCTCCGCTTCCGTTGGCTTGGGCCCCAGGCTGCTCCTCTGGGAGCTAAGCTGGGTGACCCCCAGCAGATAGCTTCCCTTCTCTGGGCTCCGGCCACTTCTGCGGAACCAGGCCCTCGGACCCTGGCCCACGCCCTGATAGAGCAGAGATCTCGGTCCCCGATGGCTGGGGCACAGTGGGTGCTGGGTCCCCTTGACCTCTACCCCTCTGGCAGCAAATGTCTGCCCAGTTGAAGTCTCCTCCAGTGGGAACATCCCCAGGGTCCTTCTGGCCCTCCCCAAAGAGGTGGGGAGGGGAGGCGGGGGCGTGACAGTTTAGCTTACTGGGTCCCAGCCCCTCCGGCCACATGAGAGGCGTGCTTTGGGCCAGTCACCTGACCCACGCCTCAGCTTCCTCATCTGTCATCGGGGCTGATGACAGAACCCTCTGCATGGGGTTCTTGCAAGATTAAGTACACGGAACACACAGAGCATCCGATGCAGGGTATGGCACACTAGGGTCGGCTATCGTGAGCCGTGGCTGTGTCACTGTTATCAACAGTGTCACCATCAGCCCTTCCATGGCGCTGACCATGTGCCAGACACTGGCTTTAAAGCATTACATGTATCGGCTCGTTTAATTCTTGTAACAGCTGCGTGAGGTGGTGCAATTATTATCCCCATTTTACAGATGAGGAAACTTTAAGGCTCAGGGAGGTGAAGGGACCTGCCCGAGACCACGCAGCTGGTCAGTGGATTTGAACCCAGACCTCTGGCCTCAGAGGCCAGGCTCTTGACCACTGTGCTAGCCTGACTCTCCAATATCAGGGTATCTTTAGACTAGCTATAACAGGGTTCGTCTGGGTAAATTGCATGTACGCCACTTTTGGAAATTGAGTTGTGTCTAGAAGGCCCCACGGGAGCTTGGGGCTTCGAAGGGGAGCCTGTGGAAGGCCTGTTAGGGAGCAAAGAGGTTCTTGTAGCAGGTGTGTGGGTGGAGAGCTGGCTCTGCGGGTCAGGAAGGGGTTCCTCCCCACTCCCTTCTTGAGGGCTCCAGGAAGCGCCCACTCTGGGCACGCGCGTTCCTGAGACAATGACGATGTTGATGAAGATGAAATCCACTCTGATTGATTTGACACAGACTTCTTGAACCAGCACCATATGCCTGGGTCCTGGATCTGAGACCCAGGCCTGGCCGTGCCTGAGAGGGGCTCGGTCTGGAGAAAAGTACCATGTGACACAGCGATTTCCAGTGGCCCAGCTGCTCCAGTGTTGCCTTTCATGTGTTTGGCATCACCCTTTTCTCTAGAAGGGCAGCTGCTGGGTGTCGGGGCTGGTCCCCGCATATTCTCATGATGAACACACAGCAAACTCGTATTCATCCCTCAAAACCCAGCTTATGTAACCCTCCTCTTCCTGTTACAGGAGACAGTGACTTGTGTCTCTGCTTTGTGCCTGCCCCTACACCACATGTACTTTTCTCTGCCTGAGCATATAAATATGCCATTGTTGCTCTTGACCAGCCATCCACTAGCCTGAGCTTAATGCAGGTGGGACTAGGTCTGATTGATCCATGTCTCTCCCTGGTGTCCAGTGCAGTGTGGGTGCTTAGGAAACGGTGGGGAAGCTGCTCTGCCCCCACCCTACCTCACACCCAGCCCTTTGCTTGGCCTGGCTTGGGGGTTCTTCCACTTTTAGGACCCCAGGGCTGATACTTCTCTGCTCAAGGGTACACTGGGCAGAGGTGGTCTTTGGTGACTGTTGGGTGGCAGCTGCCCTCTGCCCCCATCCTGAGCTAGAGGGTGCCCTGGAGGGGACCCAGCCCTTGACTTTCTCCCTTCTTGGAGCCTGGGTGTCAGAAGATGGGCTTCTCCCTCCCATCACCTTTCTGTGCCTCCATTTTCTCATCTGTAAAATGAGGATATGACTTGTATCTCCCTCACATGGTTTCTTTGTGAGCTTTACATTTTGCTAAGACAAGCTGTGTGCCCAATGCCGGGCTCATAGTGAGTGCTCAGCCAATGGCAGCCCTTGTGATGATAGTTAATTCCCCTGATTGTCCGGCCCAAGCCACACTCTGAGGCTGCTGGTCTCGGAGTTTCGGCTCTACACAGGGGCTGAGAGCATGGCTTCTGGCCTCTGGTGGGCTGGGCCCTGGGCTCTAGGCAGAGCTTGTTCTGGGTGCCAGCTTGAGCCCACCTACATACTCTCTCTGTCACCAGGGCTGGGGGGAGGGAGGCTGGTCCCTGTATCCCATGAAGCGCCCTGGGAAGGTCTGGATTTGGGGACCACTGGGGGACAGTTTGAGTTTGACTTGCTTGGCCCATCCCCCCAGCCCCTGCCACATACTGGAAGTTCTCCCCAAGTCCACCGAGTCAGGGGGCATCCAGTCCTTCCTGGGTCACGGGGGAGCTTAACTCTCTTCATGTCTGTTGCTGCATCAGACTCCCATTTTTCAGTGCACGCGGCCCAGACTTCACCAGACCACTTGGCCATCAGTGCCTGAACCTGCCGTACAAAGCCCCCAGTGAAACCCCTTCACGGCCCCTCTGTCTGCCCTCCCCTACCCCCCGACAGCCCCTGACAGGCCCTGGTGGTCCCAGGCTGGGGCCTGCATGGCACAATGCCCCCTTCACAGCGGTACCGGGTGGGTGCTGAGGTTCAGCGGCTGGGCTGGCGGCCAGCAAGCCTCCTGCCACATGGCCCTGCTTTCCTAATAAGTCCCGTTGTGCATGGGGTGGGAGGCGGAGGCCGGGGCAGCCCAGAATCCTAGAAAGGTATCTGAGTGTCTCCCTCCTCCTCCGCCCGCCCTCGCTGGCTGCACCAGCTCTGAGGTAATCGCAGACAACCCACCCAGCTTCCCAGGCGCAGGCTGATAGCACAGGCCTGGCAGTCCCGGCTGCGGGCTGGCGGGAGCTCTGCCCAAACCATCACGCCTGGGGAGCTGGCCCGGGAGCAGGGAGGGGGGCGCCCAGAGCACGCGGCGCGTTTGTTAGACCGAGATTTGGCAGCCCTGCTGGGGTCCGAGGCCCCTGTGTACTCTCCTCAGCCTGGGGAGGGCTTGGAGGGGCCCAGGCCCCCCGGCTGTGACTCCATGAGCCGGGGGTGGGCAGCTGCCTGCCGTTCTGGGAAGCCTCTATTTATAATCTGTTGTGTGTTTTGTTTTGTTTTGGTTTTCTTCCTCTTCTCCCCGTCGTCCTGCAGAAGAAGGCAGAAGCTGCACATCGGATCCTGGAAGGCCTGGGGCCCCAGGTGGAGCTGGTGAGCTGGGGTGCAGAGTGGGGTGCTCTGGGCTGGGGCGGTGCTGGGAAGGTGGGCAGGGGCAGGTGGGTGTGGAGAGAAGGAGGAAGTTGCCTATTGCCTAGAGCTGCCCGGGGTAGCTTGCGTTTGCGGAGGCAGGAAACACAACCTCTGATAAGAGGGGTGGGCAGATAGCAGGGGCGGGTGATGGGGAGCTGGCGGCCTGAGCAGTCCTGGCTGCACCCAACAGCCCTGCCAGCGCGGCTGCAGGAAGCTGCACCGTGTGCAGTCCAGCCCTTTCATTCCAGCAGCATGGAAAGCCCATCCTCTGGGCTCAACTCCCAGATCTGCCCCTCAGTCACCGTGGACCCTGAGCAGGTCTCTTAACCGCTCTGTGCCTCAGTTTGCTCATCTGTGAAATGGGGATGATGGTAACACCTATGCCACTGGGTTGTAGCAAGGATTAACTGTATTGTCTTTGTCACGCACTGAGAACCATGCCTGCTCCACAGTCAGTCCTGCGTGCCAGCAGCTGTTACTGTTGTCACTGTTAACCACTGTCACCTCACCGACCGGGAGACGCCGTGGGAGCGGCAAAGCTGGGGAGCAGACCCCGGCCTCTTCTCTCTCAGGCGGGAGAGAACGGGAGCTCCTAGCTGGTGTCTTTGGAGTCTCTGCCTGGGGGTAGGCGACAGCAGGATATATAAGGAAGTAATGTTTAGAGAGGGCTTAAATGAGGATTTTGTACAGCCTTTGGCCAGAGTGGTAGCTTGACTTCTAATTAGGTTGTTTAAAATTAGGCTCAGTGCTTGCTAACCTGCCAGTCTCATGCCTGATGCTGTGATCCACTGGTGAATCAAAAAGTGACAGTGATGGTTCTAGGTTGTGTGACTTCTGTAAATTGTGTGTGAAATTAAGTTCAGTGCAGCTGGCTGAAGGTACGGAGAGACAGACCACACCGTATTTGTTCTCTGTCTTGCGTCACGTTTGCTTTTACTGTGTTTTCAATGTTAAGTACTAAATTATTTTCATTGAGATGATTTAATTGTTATCAATTAATAATATTTAATAATAACTTTAAATATAATTTTAAATTGACTGTAAACATAAAAAAAAAAAAGCGCCAGCCTCAAGAGAACCAGGGAGAGCCCTGCCTGCCCAGGACGAGGCGGTGACCCACCTGAGCTGTAGTATGCAGGGATATTGCTAACCCGTATGCATACAAGCAGGCTGAAAGTGCCCATGCGGGGAGGGGCTGGGATTTGGGGACACATTGGGTGGAAATAGAAGGGTTATATCTGGAGCCTGACATTAAACCCAGCTGTACCACGTGTTTGCTGAGTGACCTTGGGCGCCTCAGTTTTCTCACCTGTGAAATGGGAGGATGGTTAGGACCTTCTTCAAGGACCTCTGTGAGGGTTCCATGACATGACGTATTTGAAAGTTCCCTTGGGCCAGCCCTGGGCCCCGAGTGAGTCCTCAGGATTGGGAAGGAGCAGCTGGCGTTGTGACTCCTTCCTGCGTGAGGATAGCAGACTGTGCTCTCTGGGGCTTTCTGCAGATTACTTGCTTTTCTGCAGCGGGAGCTGCTTCCCAGCCTGGGGTCCCTCTGCAGGCCATTGGGGAACAGGGGGCAGCTGGCTGGTCACTGCCTCTCAGCCTTGCAGGGGCAGGGACAGACAGGCAGTGGCTGGGCTCCTGCGGCTCGTGGTCAGGGCCCAGTGACCCCCAAAGTGGGCTCCAGAACCTTGCCTGGTTCCTCTCTGCCCTGGGGGGCTCCTCCCCTTCCTCGAGGTGCCTCCTCAGGGCGTGAGCACGGGACACAGGGTCCTAGCCTGGGGTCTCGCTTCCCCCTTCTGGGAAGTCTCTAACAAGCATCTTCATTTTTTAAAAAAAACAGCTTGATTGAGATATTCACATACTATACCATTCATACATTTAAAGCATACAATTCAGTGGTCTGAGTCTATTCACAGATTTGTGCAACCATCACCACAGCCAATTTTAGAACCTCTTCATCACCCCAAAAAAGAAACCCCGTACCATGTAGCTATCACTTCCCATTTCTCTCCTCCTCCCCCCAGCCCCTGGCAACCACTGATACCTTTTCTGTCTCTGTAGATTTGCCTGGTGTGGGCATTGCACTTCACAGGAGCCATTCATTACCTGGTCTTCTGTGACCAGCTCCTTTCACTCAGCATGGCCATTTCAAGGCTCATCTGTGTTACGGCATGTTTCAGAACTTCATGCCTTTTTGTGGCTGAGTAATGTTCCGTTGTAGGGATAGGCCACGTGTTTATCCATTCATCCGTTGATGGACACTTGGGTTGTTTCCACAATCTGGCTGTTGTGAATAGGGCTGCTGTGAATTCATGTACGTGCATCTGTGTAGACACGTTTGCATTTCTCTTGAGTATGTACCTGGGAGATACACTTGGGATTTTACTCAGGAGTTGCTGGTCTTATGGTAACTCCATGCTTAGCCTTTTGAGGAACTGCCACTGTTTCCAAGTGGCTGTACTGTTTTACATTCCCACCAGGGAGCTGCTTCTTGCCTCACTTTCTCCTTTTTGCAAATGGGGATGGCGGGATTAAATGTAGTACACAGCTGTTTCAGGACCTCAAGACTCCCTTCGCCCCTCTGTGACCTCACTAGTGTTGGAGTTTCTGGCAGGTGAGTGAGCGGAGGTCCCAGGGGTGCAGGTAGGAGAACAGGGCCTGGGACTAGCATGAGCCAGGCAGGGCACTGTGGGTCCCCGAGGCCTTGGAACTGGGTGTCTGAGTGCATCTTCTCTAGTCTCTGGGGGCGAGGGGGCTGCCCTGTTTGGGGTGTCAAAGCGGAGGCTCCGTAAAGACTGGTATCTTAGCCATCTAGTGCTGCTATAATAGAAATACTACAAGTGGATGGTTTTAACAGAGAAATTTATTCTCTCGTAGTCTAGGAGGCTACAAGTCCTAGCTCCTAGGGAAGGCTATTTCTCTCTGTCGGCTCTCTGTCAGGGAAGGTCCTTGTTATCAGTTGTCCCCTGGTTTGGGAGCTTCTCAGCGCAGGGACTGGGTCCAGATGTGCTCCGCTCCCGGCTCTTCCTTCTTGGTGGTACGAGGTCTCTCTCCTTTACTCGATTCTCTCTTATGTCTCAAAAGAGACTGACTCAAGATACAGCCTAATTCTGTAGATTGAGTCCTGCCTCATTGACATAACTGCTTCTAATCCTGCCTTATTAACATCACAGAGGTTAGGATTTATAATACGTAGGATAATCACATCAGGTCACAGAATGGAGGACAACCACACAATACTGAGAATCACGGCCTAGCCAAGTTGATGCACGTTTGTGAGGGACACAGTTCAATCATTAACAGCTGGTGACACAGGGCCGAGGTCTGGAGTGTTGGGTGGGCTGCCTGGCTTTCAGAATCCTGGAGAAGCGAGTAGGCCCTTTGCTTGGTAGTTCTGGGTGGGGAGGGGACAGCCCACTCTGAGTGCCCCTGTTGCATCACTGCCCCTGTTTTCTGCATGAGGCTTAGAGAGAGCAGAGCCCAAGACCACACAGCGAGGGATGGGGTGCTGAGCCCATGGGTGGGCAGCTGACCGTTTTGCACAGGCTGACTCTGTCATGGCCACCCCAAGGCCCGAGTGGCCAGAGGTGTCCCACAGGTGGGGGCGGCCCAGAACATCGTCCAGGTCAGCCTCTGCAGGACCTGCTGTGAACCCTCAGGTGTTGGAAGCTGCGGGCCCCCTGGGCTGTGGGTTATCAGGCATACTACTAGGAGTCGGTTCCCCAGGGCCTCCCATCCACAGCCTCAGGGCATGACCAGGGGCCCTTGCCCAGGACATGGCCGCCTTGAGGACGTGCTGGTGCGCTGCCCATCCTCACCGGGAGGGAGGCCTGGCCTGGAGAGGAAGGAGGAAATGGCTCCTGGGTCCCAGGCTGCCCGGGGGACCGGGGGGAGCAGGAGCTGGAAGGGAGGGTGTGCATGGCCATGGCTCTGGCCTCTCTCGGCTGCTTTGAGTCACTTGGTTTCCTTCCTGTGCAGAGTGGTTATTTTAAGAGCATGGTGTCACTGGGTTGAGGGCCGGGTGACCTGTCATCTGTTACCAGCCCAGCCCCCCTGGGACTTCTAGCTCATCTTGGTCACCCCCGCCAGCTGGCCTGAAGTCAGGCCCGAAGGAGATCCCCCTGCTCTCTCCCCAAGAGCCCCCTGTTTTAGTCACATTGAGATCTCGTTCCTGCCCAGGGCTTGGCAGTCTAGCGTGTCTTGTCCCTGTTGCGTGCTCAGTCAGTCCTCGGATTTACTGCATCCCCATGTTTGGAGGAGGAAATACAGGCCTGGAGGGGGTAGGAGACTGTCCCAGGTGACCTTGCCAAAGTGGAGCCTTTTTGGTGTCAGGCCCCAGCTCCTCCCAGCCCAGCTCTCTGGGCCCCTTTGGGAGGGGACTTTTCCCTCTCAAGAGCTGGGTTCATCTGGTGGGAGATGAAACCTGTGAGATAGTGAGAGGTGGGCTGAACCCCGCAGGCTTGCCCTGGTGTGAAGTGTGAAGCCTGCCTCATGGCTGCCATATTGGGACTCGCCTCCTGGGACAGAGGCAGGCCTGGGCGGAAGGAGCTGCCTGGCCTTTGCGCAGCCCCTCTGTGCGCGTGCGGGAGAGGTGCTAGGAGAGATCCTCTTGGGCCCTGCACTCCCCTCAGAGGGCTCCACCCCAGGACGCATTTCCTTGGGTCCAACCCACAGGCTTCCCAAGATGGCTGCCCAGGGGTCCGTTGCTATAGTAATATTGGGTCTCCCCAGGCTGCTCTGGGCCCTGAGTCTTCCCTTCTCCAGGCCTCAGTTTACCTCAAGGAAAGCTTCCTAAGTGCCTCCTGGGGCACAGCCCTCTCTTTAGAGGTGGCTTCACCATAGTGTATTTATTGCTCTGTTTCTTCTTGGCCTTTCCTTGGGAACCCGTCCCTGAGGGCCACTCCCAGGGGGATACCTGCTGTATGAACCTGGCGAGGAGCCCAGGACCTGACAGTGACTGCCCTCACCTCTGGGCTTGGGGAATCAGGGCCCCTCACTGCCCTCCCAAAGTTAGTCTCGCCTTTCCTGGCCCATTCCGCCCCTTCTTCCCATCTCCTGCTCCCTGAGGTCCATGTATTGTGGTCCTGGCCCCTGAGGCTCTGAGAATGTGGGCTTTTGTCAGCTTTAAAAATAGAAGAAAGAAAAGAAATCACCAAGTCTGACATTTTCTGGGCTATTCAGCATAGCCCTGTGAGGTCAGTCGGTCATGTTTGCTCTGTGCCCATTTTACAATGAGAAGACTGAGGCCCAGAGTGTTGGAGTCACTTGTCTTAGGTCTCACGGGCCAGTGAGGGAGGAGCCAGCCTTGAAATCAAGGCCCGTCAGTTCCTGGAACCTGAACCTGTAAGCCGTGCCCACTCCCGCCTGGCCTGTAATTTGTCAGCATATAAATCCAGGGTTAGACACAGGGACAGTGAGCGCCTTGAACACCACATGGGCATCTTTGCAGGGCATCTCACCATTTCTGAGGATTCTCCACCTTCTGCGAGAATGTCTTTGCACTTCCGCCACCGGGAAGTTCTGCAGTGAGTCTGACTGCTGGCTCCCTAGCTGCCTCTCTCTTTTTCCCTCCTGTTCAAGCCCCCAGGGTGGGGGTGGGGAAAGTGCCCCATCTTGGCCTTGACCACCTTGGGAGGCAGCCTGACCCCGTGTGGGTCCACGGGTGAGTAGCTGAGCTCAGAGCCAGAATCCCCTGAGGTCAATGGTGAATTACCACAGTGGAGTCTGGGGGCGCTGCGAGAAGGGGACATTGTATTCAGCTGAGGCTGCTTGGTATGCCCCCCATGCGGCCCGTGACTGCTCAGGCCTGTGGAAGTCCCGTTTTTGACCTGGCCCTGTCCATGGAAGGCAGGTGGCCTGTCCCTGGGAAGGGGGCTGCCTGCGGGCCTCATCAGCAGGGATTATTAGGATGTTGGTGGGTGGCAGGAGGTGGGCCAGCCCCCTGTGCCCCTTCTCTCCCTGCGGCCCTGCCCGAGGCCCAGGACTGCAGGCTCCTTCCCCTACCTGGCCTGTCTTGCCTGATAGGAGCTCACAGGCTGTACCTGGCTTTCCCACTGGGGTCACACCTGGCAGCCCTTGGAGCCTCCTGCTGTGTGTGTGGGTGTGCTTGAGAGAGGAGCAGAGATGAGGCACAGAGAGAACAGGGGCGAGGACAGACTCCTCCTTCCAGGGCTGGAGCTGAGAGACGGGCTTCTAGTTCAGTCCATCTCTTACCGGCTGTGGGCGGATTTTGTGTTGTCTATACTTTTTTTGTTTGTTTGTTTTAATTTTATTGTACGTTGGGTGAAAGTTTACAGCTCAGGTTAGTTTCCCATTCAAAACTTTATACAAATTGTTTTGTGACGTTGGTTGCAATTCCCGTGATGTGTCAGCACTCTTCCCCCTTTCTCTTTCCACCCTGGGTTCTCCGCGTCCATTTGTCCAGGTTTCCTGTCCCTTCCTGCCTTCTCGTTCTTGCTTTTGGGCAGGTGTTGCCCATTTGGCCTCATATACTTGATTGAACTAAGAAACACGTTCCTCACGTGTGTTATTGTTTGTTTTATAGGCCTGTCTGGTCTTTGGTGGAAGGGTGGACTTCGGGACTGGTTTCAGTTCTGAGTTAGCAGGGTGTCCTGGGGCCATAGTCTCGGGGTTCCTCCGGTCTCTGTCAGTGTGAGCAAATGTTTTAGCCTCTCAGGGAGGCAGAGGCTACAGCCTGTCTGAAAGCTCTGAGGGGGTGTGGAGCAGGGGGACAAGCTCAGAACGTTAAAGGAATAGAAAGGACAGTGAGTACGGTTGGAGCTCGGTGGGGAGAGAAAGCGTGAGAAAAACCGGGGTCAGAGAGGAGCTCCCCATCTGTAAAGTGGGGTGATAATTGTGTCAGCTATTACTTCGTGATGAACGGCTCCCAGTTAGTGGCTGAAACAGCCGCCGTTGACTTTCTCACATCCAGGAGCGAGCTGGGCTTAGCGCTCAGGTGTCTCTGGTCGGCTGGCAGCCAGGCCCAAAGCCAGTACACTCAGCTCTGCCTCCTCCGGCAGGCCAGCCTGGGCTGGTCCTGTGGACGCGGAGATGCAGACGTGCATTTCCAAGCCTCTACTTTCCTCAGGCTTGTTGCCCTTGCATTGGCCAACGCGAGGGCGTGGTCGCAGGGAGGCAAGAGAATTGAGAGCCCGGAACACAACCATCCACCCCGATGGTGACGATGATGCTTCAGTCTGCAGGCGCTGGGCTACGGCGTCGCAGGCGCGACCTCATCGGATGCTCACAGCCACCCCGTGAGCTCACCCCCATCTCACAGACCAGCAAACTGAGGCACAGATGCCCAGGGACACACGGCTAGAAAGCAGCAGAACCAGGGCTTGAACCCCGGCTGTGCCCTTCGTCCGTGACCACGGCATAGCTGTCAGGAAGGAGACCACAGCATGTGGCCCTTCTTCCCACGGCGCGCGCTTTGAAGTCTTGTGCTTGCTGACACGTGTGGGTGCGGTATGCTGGTTTCCCACTGCTGTGTGGTGTTCTGGTGTAGAACATGTCCTGACCTCCATGCTCCTGCTTCTGTTGGTGGTGTGTAGCTGTTTCTGGTTCTCGCTGGTATGGACAGTGCTTTCCGCACACCCAGCATCCACCCCTTGGGAGAGCACGTCCACATGTTTCCGGGGTGTCTGTGGGGGCGCTGTGCAGGGCCACGGAGCGTGCGTACCCTCAGTCTTTAACACAGGTTGCCCGAATGCTCTCTGGTGTGGGCGTACACTGGACGTCCCCAGCAGCTGCCTGCAAGTCCCCCATCACCCCATGTCCTCACCAGCACTTGGCGTTATTCGATTTTCTTATTCTTTGCCCCTTGGTGGATGTGGAGTGGCGCCTCGCGATGGTTCAGACGGGGGTTTCTGTGGTGTTCTTTCTGTGATCAGTGGCTGTGGCTGGCCTCGGCTCTCAGGGCGTGTGGCTTGTCCCAGGGGCCCCGTCTAGGCTGACCTTCCCCAATGCCCTGCAGAGCTGTCACGGTGGCCTTGGTAGGGCGATGTCCTCACCACAGTGCCTGGAAGGTGACGGCCTGTTCCTGGCTGGGCCACGTGCTGGGTGCCCGTGTCCCTTTCATGCCTGCTGGCGGTGGGTCGCTCACACCAGTGCACGGCTCCTTGGAGCCAGGGACATGGGTGCTGGCCTCTGCAGCTGGCAGTGGCTGCTTGGTCCAGGGCAGCTGCCTCTGACCCACTCTGTCTCCTCTTTTGTAGCCATTGTACAACCAGCCCTCCGACACTCGGCAGTATCATGAGAACATCAAAATGTGAGTACTTGTGGGCACTGAGCAGACTCTGGGGCGGGTGGGCAAGCCAGGGTCCGCAGCTCACGGCCGCGGGGGCCGGGGTGGGCCTTGGCCCTCTGGTTCCACCAGGACTCCTAGCAGGTACTAGGGGAGGGGCAGAGGATGCAGAGTTGGGTGAGAGATGTGGGCCTGGCAGGGCAGCCAGGACGGGGTCTAGGCAGGCTGGGGTGAAGGGGCGGCCCTCAGGCAGGACACAGTTCAATAAATAGGCATGGAGGGCGTTCAGGGCCTTCTCGCAGCTGGTTTAGGGGATGGGGTGGAATGTTCCTGTCTGAGTCAGGGCTGCTGGAGCCTTTGTTCATTCAGGCATTCATTAATTCTGCATACATCTGTTGAGCACCTACTATGTGCCAGGCCGTGTTCTAGGCCCTGGGGATTCAGCCACGAACCCAGCAAAGACCCTTGCCCTCACTGAGCATTTCGTCTAGCGCAATAGAAAATAAGTGAGTTCAATGAACAGGAAAATATCAGCTAATATGAAGCGCTGTGAAGACAGCAAACAGGGTGATGGGAGGGAAACTGGAGGTGAGAGAAACCAAGGAGGTCAGGGGAGCCTGGCAGTTCAGGGGGTGCTCAGAGGCTGAGCGGCAGCAGGTCATGGGGCCTTACGGGCAGGAGTGTCCCAGGTGGTGGAACAGCTCGTGCAGAGGCCTCGGGCTGCCCCAGCTGGGCAGGGATCACAGAGAAGCAGGTGGGGCTACAGGGGAGAGAGAAGGGGAGGAGGGCGGGTACGGGTCACCGGGCCTGGGAGGCAGCGGAGTTTGTCATCTGTGCAGAAGGGAGCCAGGTATGGGCTTGATCTGGGAAGCGATGTCATCAGATGTTTGTTTTCAAAACTTGCTCTGGTGACCACAGGAAGAGATGACCGGGGTGGGAGATCAGAGGCAACTGTGGCCATCCAGGCATGCAGTGGTGGTGGTGGCGTGGGTGGACCCTGTGGGACTCTTGACACAGCCAGCTTCAGGCATTGTCACACCCACAGAGTAGCGTTCAGGAAGGAGGCCCCTTGTGAGCCTGTCCTCGCGTGGCTGGACGTCTGGGCTCAGGCCTGTCCACAGCTCCCCTGAGTGGCTGACCGGCTGTGGGCCCTCAGGCAGGTCACTTACTCTCAGGGCTCAGTTTCCCCATCCGTGAGAAAAACCAAACCAAACCCACTGCTGTCGAGTTGATTCTGACTCATAGTGACCCTATAGGACCGCCCCATAAAGTATCACAGCGGCTGGTGGGTTCGAACTGCCAGCCTCTCAGTTAGCAGCCCAGGGCTTTCCCACTGCGCCCCCAGGGCTCCGTCCACCTGTGAGAGGGGATGATAACAGTAACGGCCTCAGGGCTGCTGAGGCTTCTGTGTGTTACTACACATTAGATGCTGAGCTCAGTGCCAGGCTGTAGCACATCCTCTCTGTTCTCCTCCTCCTTTGTCTGCAGACATGGAGTGGGTACTCATTCATTCACTTGTTCCACGTATGTTTATTGAGCAGCTTCTGTGTGCCCCGCTGTGTTCTGGGCCCTGGGGAGACAGCCATGAATGAGACCTGACATTCTAGTGTGGAAACCAGTGGCCATCAAGTCAAGCCCAGCTCTTGGCGACCCCGTGTGTGTCAAAGTAGAGCTGTGCTCCTTAGGGTTTTCAATGGCTGGTTTTTCTGAGGTAGATTGCCAGGCGTTTCTTCCAGGGCACCTCTGGGTGGACTTGAGCTTCCAGCCTTTCAGTCAGCAGTGAGCTTGTTAAACATTTGCACCCCTCAGGGACTGGTCTAGTAGTGGAGAAGATAATAAATGAACACTGTGGCAGCAGTGACAATTGTACAAGGTAAATGAACCTGGGCCGGGGTGCAAGGCCCTGCCTCTCAGGGTCACCCTGGATGTCCGCCCCCGACAAGGTCCTCCTCCTGCCTGCCTCTGTCCTCTGCTGCAGTTGCAGCGAGGTGCAAGGTTGGCCACTGCCTGCCCCAAGGACCTTGCCACTGTCACTTTGATTTCTCCGCATCTGAGTGCAGGGCTGTGCAGTTAAAGTTAATATCATGCTTGGTTTCATGCTGTGCTGGTAATTCAGGATGTGCCGCACTCACCTGTACCTGCCTTGACTGCTTTCTCTACCACCTGCCACAGGGACCCTGTTAGGCATGACTGCCCATGCTCCCAAGGGTCGCCAGCCGCAGGGTCTTAGCTCCGGGCCTCAGTAGTGACTCACAGAGCTCTAGGGAAGGGGCCAGGCCTCCCCAGCTTGGGCACCACTGAGTGGGATGATGTGGGCGTTCCCTCGAGGGGCAGCCCAGCCTCTGCAGGGCCTGCTGGGAACACTCGTGAAGCCCAGTGCAACACGGAGAAATGCAGAAAGGCACTGATGGGGCTCACGCAAGGTGACTGCTTGGGTGATCTTGCCGTGGCCACACCCACCAGTGCCCTGGCTCTAGGGCACTGGTTTGGGCTGACCGGCCTTGCCCTCTCGTCCCCCCCGGGCCTAGACGCCTGCTAGTCCCCTGGGTCCCCCGAGGTCATCTCTCCAGGCTTCTTCTCCTATTCCCCGACTTTATCATCTTGCAGCCTGATTTCTTTCTGCTCATTTGGGGTTGGCTCTTCCAGACGGTCAGTCTTGGGGCTGTGCAGATGTAAACGGCAGGTGGGACCCAGCTTTCTGTTCAAAGGTCTCTATGGACTTGCTCCGGAGGCTCAGAGATGGCAAGTGACTTCCCCAAGGTCACACAGCCCAACACCTAGACCAGTCGTTCTCCACACCATCACTGCCCCTCTCGGGGCTCTCCCCCTGGCTAGCCAGGTGGCTTTGAGCAAGTCCATTGCCTCTTAAGTCTCGGGTTGATGGGCAGTACAGTGGCCTCCTCAGACTGTCTTTCCCAGGCCTGTGAGAGGACCCCAGAGAGAGAGTGGGGGAAGGGTGCTGGGCTCCCAGGAAGCAGGAGGCTCCTGAGCACTGGGCACTCCCAGGCCGGCATTCAGGGTCTTACACGGGCTGACACCCTCTTTCTGTTCCCTGCACTTGGGGGTCTGGCGCTCCCTGAACACCCCTTCTTATCCCTTCATTTCCTCTGCTCCTCCTAAACAAGCCTCTGCTCAAATCCCCCTTCCTCCAGGAAGCCTTCCATGACTGCCCCAAGCTTTCCTTTTCCAGAGCCCCACAGATCCCAGGGCCAGTCCTGCTCAGGCTCCTTCCAGACTCTCTGGGCACTTTCCCACAGTATCCATTGCTTTTGTGCTCCCCCCGGTTCCTGCATCCCCTCTTGTGTCAGGCAAGGAGACCCGTGTTTTCTTTTACAGGTTGTGTTTTTATTTAAACCCTGACTTCTCTAGCAGACTGTAGGTGCCCTTTGCACCCCATTAATGCCTCCACCAGCAAACTCATCATGTTGGCTGGTTGTTGGCCCGTTCAATGCCCACGGAGACTGTGTGTCTTACTTCTGCTGGGCAAAAGTTCAGCAGAAAGATGTGTGTGAAGTAATCCATTTGCATCTCCAATGCCAAACACTGCTTAGAATAAAATAAACACTCAAAAAAGGTTTAGCGGGAGAAGGTAGAACATGTAGACACCCTAAACAGGCGTCTGGGGGTTGCAAACTAAGATGCCTGCCTCGGGCGGGAAGGTACAGTAAATGAGTGAGGAGGACCAGGGCTGAGGCATTAGGGGCTGGTGGGGACTGTGGCAGATGGAGAGCTCGTAGCCCTTTTTAAAGGGGCAACCAGGTCTCAAGTCCCAGCTTGTGATCTTAAGGCAATATGGCCACATGGCCTCATTTTTCAAGAGAAGCTTTAAATTCAGCTTTCTGTGCAACAGCTTCTGCTTTTTAATCCTGGCAGCCAATTCAGAGTTTTTAGAAAGCACTGCAGTCCAAACACAAGCTTTCGTGGGCTGGCTGTAGCCTGTGGACTGTGCCCAGTTTGCAACCTGCAGACTTGACATTTTGGCCTCTTTGGCAGGAAGTGGATACCTCTAGGTGCCAAGCACAGTGCTTGCTTTGGAAGGCACCCCAGATCAGCTAGAGAGAATCCACGCCCTCCGGGTGCTTCCTGGGAACAGAGATGGGCGCACAGATCACTTCCACCCCCGGGATGCTTCCTATCGACCGCGTTGCTTTCAGCTTGCAGCGGAGACAGTTATCTGTTGAAAGCCTGTCATGTGCCAAGCCTCCTGTGAGCTCCAAAGTAAATTATAGTTGATCCTCACCCTGGCTTCCAAGGAAGATCACGTCTCTCTCATGTTTTTTTAGCTTTTAATTTTGAAGTAACTTTAGATTTACGGAAGAGTTGCAAAGATAGTACAGGTAATTCCCGTAGGCCCTTCACCCAGCTTCCCTTCGTGTAAACATCTTACGTAATTGTAACACGTTTATCAAAACTAAGAAGTTGACTCTGGTAAACCTTGTTAGCTAAAATAAAAAAAAAAGAAAGAAACCCGTTGTCACTGAGTCGACTCCAACTCGTGGTGACCCCATATATGTCACAGTAGAACTGTGCACCGTAGGGTTTTCAGTGGCTCACATTTTGGAAGTAGATCACCAGGTCTTTCTTCCGAGGCGTCTCTAGGTGGACTCGAACTTCCAACTGTTTGGTTAGCAGCCAAATGCATTGACGATTTGCAGTAATTAAACTGTAGACTTATTTTGGATTTCCCCCAGTTTTTTGCCTAAGGTCCCTTTTCTTTTCCAGGATCCAGTGCAGGATCCTACATTGCCTTTAGGCAGCCTGTCTCCTTAGTCTCTGCCAGTCTGCGACAGTCTTTTTTTCCGTGACCCCAACTTTTGAAGTGTGCCCGTCAGGTATTTTGTAGAATGTCTCCCGGTTTGGGTGTGTCTGATGTTTTCTCCTGATGAGAGTGGGGTTATGGGTTTTGGGGAAGGACGTCAGAATTCAAGTGCCCTTTTCACCACATGGCATGGGTGTACGTGGCGTCAGCCCCATTCGGCACAGGTGGTGTTCACCTTGATCCTGTAGGGTGGAGTCTGCCATATTTCCCCACTATCACATTGCGGTTTTCCCTCTCTCTTGTCTGTTCCTTAGAAGGGAGTCACCAAGTCCAGCCAACTCTGGCAGGGAGGGAGTTCAGCATCCTCCCGAAGCATCTGTGAACACATCAAAGAAAGTGTGAGCAGATATTAAAACTACCAGTCAGTAATAAATATCAGGGGAGGTACTCGGAGGCTGTGCGAGTTTCCTGTCTCTCCTTCAAGTTTTGCCAGCTCGTTTAGCCTCCGTCCACAGAGCTGGCCTGCAGCCACGATGACCCTGGTGTTGAACGATGGTGTTCACTCTGCCTTATTCTGTCTGCGTGTATTCACTGGAATTCTCTGTAAGGAAGATGAGTCTCCTCGTTTATTTACTCACTCCCTCATTTACTTCTGCCAGTGTGGACTCATGAATATTTACCTTATTCTTTGGGTTGTGAGCTGTTGTTAGCTATCGAGTGGGCTTCAACTCATGGCAACCCCCTGCACAGTGGAACAAAACGTTGCCTGGTCCTGCACCATCTTCATGATTGTTGGTCTGCTTGAGTCCATTGTTGCAGCCATGGTGTATTTTGCGTACCTTCCAACCTAGGGGGCTCATCTTCCAGCACTGTATGAGATGCTGTACTCTGTTGTGATCCATACGGTTTTCATTTTCAGAAGTAGATCTTCAGAAGTGGATTGCCAGGTCTTTCTTCCTAGTTTGTCTGAGTCTGGCTTACAACCTAGTACCTGTGCTGTTTATTTTGTTGGTCAGATGGCTCCAGCTTTGCCCATCGGGAGGCCTTTCACGTTGGCTCAGGCATCCTTTGGACAATTTTTTCTTTTGGCATTTCCTTACTTTCAGGCACTTAGAGACATCCCAGACTCATCTTGGCTGTTTCCTGCCCCAGCCCTGGAATCAGCCGTTTCTCCAGGGAGCCCTGCTTTCTTTATCGGAGAATGGTGTTAGGAACCAAGATCTCGGGACTGGTGGCCTCATTGCTACTGGGGTGCCATTGCTTCTGAGCCCTCTCAGCTGTCCGTCTTCTTTGTAAAAGTTCAAACCCTTTCCTGGGTCGGGACCCACAGCTGAACACAAGCGGCCCCTGCCGGCCCTGAGCATCCCCTCTCCTTCCCCCATGCACGCTAGCCACGTGGAGCTTCTCTCTGTCCTTCACGCTCTCTGAGTGTGCTCCCACCCCAGGGCCTTTGCCTTGCTGTGCCTGCCTGTAGCATCCTCCCCAAGCCGGGCCTTTCAGACAGCATGCATCTCAGCTCCAGGTCATCTTCGAATCTAAAACAGCCACGTCCTCCCTCCCTCCCACTGACTCTCCCAAACACAGACTGGTGTAGGTTCTCGGATTCAGACATACCCTGATTCCCGCCTGTTGTCCATGTTGACCCCCTAGACCGCCATCTCCGTGAGGGATAGTGGGTGCTCAGTAAACATGCCCAGTGACTGGGGAGATGAATGCATGATGCTGGTGTTCCCATTTTTTGGATGAAGAAACTGAGGCGCAGAGAGATCGGCTCAGAGTCACCCTGTTGGGATGAGGAGTGAGGCTCTGGTCGCAGCCCCTGTGGCCAAGGACCGACCCCCAGTGGTAGGGCTGGAGGCCCCAGTTGGTCAAGACGGTGCACAGTGGCTCAGGGAACCTGAGGCTCCCCCTCCCGCCCTGACTGGCTGTAAGTGGGTGTGGCATTTCCCCGTTGGGAGGTGGGGTGCGGTCCCTGGGGCTTCAGCAGAGGGAAGATGTTCCTGTGTCTACAGCGGCCTGCACTCCCAGCTGAGACAGACCCCGGTCTGCTGCTTACTGTTTCTGAGACTCAAGGCCAGGGGATGAGAAGCTCCCATTCCTGCTGGGACTCAGTGTAGGGCCCCACAGTGTCGGGGTGGGGGCGGAGGGTCCTTTGATGCCTGTAGAGCTGACTCCGAGAGTGGCTGGGCCTCCCGCTGCCTCCTGGGGCCCCTTGTGCACGTGGGTGTCTCTCTGCCTGGGGTGAAGGAAGGGCCGGGGGGGTGTCTCCAGGACCCGTGTCAGGCACATCAGCCTTAAACCCTGTGAGACATCTGTTGGGTGAGCTTCACTGACCACCGGTGCCTGGGGCATCTCTCCCAGTGTCCTTGGGTGGGCCAGGTGAGGGGCCCGCCCACAGGCACCGTGCAGGTCTCTGAACCTCAGTGGTGCCGGCTGCGTTCCTGGCGTGATCCCCTTGTCGTCAAGGCTGGACTGTTTCTCTGTGGCCAGTGCCCTGTGGCAGGCGTGGCTGACGGGGGAACTGGTGTGTGTGTGGGGTGATGGCAGCCCAAGGCGGGGGCCACGTACGCCCGGCCCTTGGGACCCCTTCGTCTGTAGAACACTCTCAGCCCGGGTCTGGTAGGGGCAGTTGGCTGGTCGCTCCAGGGCTGTGGCGTGTCTGCCCTACCAAGGAGCTCGCTGGGCACACTCAGGACCCCTCACGAAGCAGGAGGAAATGCGGGAGCCACTGCCTCCCTGACGTGCCCGCTCGCTCCCCCTCCTGCACAGAAACCAGGCAATGCGGAAAAAGCTCATCTTATACTTCAAGAGGAGGAACCACGCGCGGAAGCAATGGGTGAGTTGCCCCACCGTCCCTCCCTGGAGTCTCAGCGCCCCCCCATGGCAGGGTGTCCTTGGGGCCCAAAGAGAGCGGGGGCCACATCGGGCTATGCTGCCCCAGTCTGCAGCTGTCTCCCTGTGAGCACCCAGGCTTTGGGAGAAAAGGTGAGGACACAGCTGCTTCCCTGAAGCCGGGCTCCCTCGACCCAGGGGGCTCTGAGGCAGGCACCCCTGAGGTTGACTGGGTCAAGACCCGTTAAAGACAGGCCAGGAAGAAAGCAAAATGGCCTGGGGGTGTCCATGGTACACTGCCTCATCCACGTGGGGCTGCTACCTGTCACCGGGACAATTTCTTGATCCCCCACGAGTTCTCTGAGTACCCTATTTGTGTGTGGCACCCCCGGAGCTGTGTTCTGCTCCCTGCTCAGTGCCAGCAGAGCTGCTCCTCGGGGCCTGCTGGGTCGATTGAGGACAAGGTCACGGGGTGCCCTGGGTTGATGCTGGAACTCAGGATGGAGCAGGGTTCTGGGCGCAGGGACCAGGGAGGGCTTTTCTGTTTGCACCAGAGCATTGAGAGGGTGTTCAGGCGAGACGCACGGAGCATGCCATCTGTTCACCCACAGCTGCTCAGGATGGGAAACAGGCTCTCGTGGCCTGCCAGACGGCCTCCTGCCTGCTCGAGGCCCACATCACCTTGGAGATCTGGAGGCGAGGCCGTGCTGGGCTGGACAGGGTCTCTTCTCTAAGGATGCGGGTGCAGGCTGCGGCAGGCGTCACTGCAGTTAGACGGGGGGTGAGGAAGGGGGAGGATTTCCTTTCCTTGGATGGATAGCAGAACCTCCTCGTCAGGAGCTGCTGCTTGGCATTGGGAGCGTTGCTGAGGTTGAGGCTGGGGACTGGGAGCTGTTTAGAAAGCGGGTGCTTCCTGAGAGCTGCCCCTTTGCCTGCTGGCACCCTGGAGCAGCGCTCCCCACTACTTTCTGCCCTGATGGGCATGTTCTCTGTCTGCGCCGCCAGCACGGGCAGTATCCGCCGGCACATGGGACTAGTGAGCGCTGGCAGTGTGGCCACGCAGAGCGAGGAACAGCCTTTGTAGCTGCAGTTAATTTGATATGATTTGAATTTAACAGGCACCTGTGGCTGGTCTGGGATGGAGAGGGCGTCTCCGGAGAAGCTAGAGGGAGGCCGGGGTAGGCTCCCGGTTCAGCAGGGAGGGGCGGCCAGGACCCTGGGGGGCGGGCTGTGGCTCTTCCTCAGGGTCCCAGCTTGTGCCCACTGCACCTTCCCGCCCGCCGGGGCCACGCCCGCCAGCCTCTGCGTGACTGTGTGTGAGCACGTGTGTGTGACTGTATGGGAGCGTGTACACGTGTGTGTGTCCGCAGAGCGGGCTGCGGGCTGTGGGGCGGGGAAGCTGGTGTCCGGGGGAGCGGCTCACTCGGGGGTCCTGCCCACACTCCCCAGGAACAGAAGTTCTGCCAGCGCTATGACCAGCTTATGGAGGCCTGGGAGAAAAAAGTGGAGCGTATGGAGAACAACCCCCGGCGACGAGCCAAGGAGGGCAAGGTGCGCGAGTACTACGAGAAGCAGTTCCCGGAGATCCGCAAGCAGCGCGAGCTGCAGGAGCGCATGCAGAGGTGAGCGGGGGGCGGAGCTGCCCCCACCCGGCAGGGGCCTGTGCCTTCTTCCCTCCTGCGGCCTTCTTTCACTCAGCTGAGACGTGCCTGGGGCCTGGGTCCACTTGCAGAATTGTCCCCAGAGCGGTGACGGAAAAGTTTAGCAGGGTCTCACACTGGTGGCCCCGGGGCTGTGTCAGACCCTTGGATGTGTCATTTAGGGCATGCCTGGCTTTAACACGTTTGGAACTTGCATACACTTAGGTGGGACAGACACTCTTTCTGGAGTGCCACAAACTTGTCCCTGCCAGCTTCGTTTAGGTGGCGTACATGGCCTCTGAAGATGTCTGAGTTTGAGATCCCTGGCATGGCAACAAAGGGGAGAGGCCGCCTTGCTGGGAAACTGGGCCCGCGATGCTGGGCTCACCAGTGGCCGAGGGCTATGGGAAAGGCCGTGCAGAGAGCCCAGTGCACAGTAGGTGCTTGGTGCAGCAGCCATGGTTCATGGTGTAGTTTTTTTCTTTGTTACACAGACGAGGTGAGAGTTCTTTAGTAATAATAATAACAACTTGTATTGTACTGAGCACTTCTCAACCCACAGCTCGTGGAACTCCTCCCAGTAGCCCGAGGTGCTGGGTGCCCAGGTTACAAGGGAGGAAACCGAGTCACAGAGAGTACCTTTGCCCCAGGTGTGAAGAGGCAGAGCTGGGATTTGGACCCAGCTGTTTTTGGGTCTGTCCTCTGAGGACTGGAGGTCCCGTTGTTCCTGGGTCAGCATGAGGTGCTGTCCTGGCCCTTCTGCTTCCCCTCGCCCACACCTGGCCTCTAGGGGTGAGGTAGGCGGGGCGGGGCGGCTACCCAGCCTGGTCCTGAATGTGTCCCTCTCGCTCTCCAGCAGGGTGGGCCAGCGGGGCGGCGGGCTCTCCATGTCAGCCGCCCGCAGTGAGCACGAGGTGTCTGAGATCATTGACGGCCTCTCCGAACAGGAGGTGAGTCCCTGCTGCAGCCCCGCACCATGGCCACAATGCCTGTGACAGGCAGATGCAGCTTGGTTTGACTGGAAGCAGGGGGAAGGCGGTCCTCTCCCAGGATTTCCTGGCGAGACAGCCAAGGGCAGGTGGTGTCTAGGCTGAGTGGTGCCAGCTTCCTCTCCTCCACCCCTCATCCCAGAGGCCCACTTCCCGGGTCCCGGCCACATGAGAATACGCGACCCGGGGCCTCAGGGAGGTTGAAGGAGTGGTGCATTGTGGGAGGGGGAGTTGGAAAGGGGATTGGGGCAGAAATTTGACCTTAGCCAGCAGGAGGTCGACCTGAGGTCACCCAGGAGGGTATGAGAGAGGAGTGTTCAGCCCTCAGCGCAGGGTGGCGTGGAAAAGACAGGCAGGCAGCCCTGGGAGAGAAGAGCCAGGGTCCAGCTGGGAGAAACCTGCCCGGGACCATGTCTGTGGCTCTGCTGTTACTGCATCTCTGGAAGGTGCCAAGCTGGACAGGGAGTGTCTGGGTTTCGAGCGCTTCTCCCAAGGTGCAGGGGAGAGTTGGGCCCCTCTGTCAGCCGGGGTCAGAGCTATGGCTTCCTTCACTCCCGGGTGGGTGTCCTGAACATGGGACGGCCAGGCTGGGCCTGGGAGGCAGCGACTGAGGGTTGGAGCTGGCTGACCTTGGCTGGGCCAAGCCCTCGCTTGCCTCCGGAGATGGGTAATTAATTGGCCATAATGGGCCTTGCAGAGATTTGGGGAAATGAGCCTCTTAATGACGCAGTTTTGCTCTATGCCGGAAGCAGGAGGAAGGTGGTCCTCTCCTGGGGGCTACCAGCCAGACAGCCAAGGGCAAGTGATGTCTGGGCTGAGTGGGGCCACGTGCCTGTCCTCCAACCCGCATCCCAGAGGCCCAGAGCCTCTTACTGGCCACCAGGATGCATTAGAAGGGAGCCCGCCCGGCCCTGGCAGTGCGTGTCAGGAAGGCGTGGTCCCCAGTGGGCAGCTTCTGGGAGCAGGCTGCCGGCGTGGGCAGGCAGGGGTCTGCAGTCCCCCTCCCTCTGGGCCTGGGTGGCTGCTCCCTGAGGCCCGCCCACTTGCCCTCTGACTCTGGATACACAGGACGCCCTCCCCAAGCGAAGGCGGCCCAGCTGGGCAGAGGTCTTGCCTGCAGTGTTTTATGATGCTTGCATTTCCAGGGAAGATTCATGGTTCCCTTCCTGCTGCAGATAAGGCGGCCCTGCTCGTGTTTAATTTACAGCCAGCCTGCCATAAACCCGTAGGGCTGCCTTGCGGCTCTGCCGCCGCCAGCAGGAGCTAAGATTATTTTTAAGTCATCATTCCCCTTCTCTTGGGTCTTGCACCTCCTCTCGCTCAGAACCTGCGCACCCTCTGCGCGGGCCCTGGACGCTGCCCCTTCCCCTGCTGTGTCCTCCCGCCCTCTCTGACCCCCCGCCCTTGCTCTCCCCCTAGAACCTGGAGAAGCAGATGCGCCAGCTGGCCGTGATCCCGCCCATGCTGTATGACGCCGACCAGCAGCGCATCAAGTTCATCAACATGAACGGGCTCATGGGCGACCCCATGAAGGTGTACAAGGACCGCCAGGTCATGAACATGTGGAGCGAGCAGGAGAAGGAGACCTTCCGCGAGAAGTGAGTCCTGCTCCAGACGCCGGCTCGTGGGGGCCTTGTTGTTGTTCTCGTTAGCCCCCGAGTCAGCCTCGACTCGTGGTGACCCCCTGCACAATGGAAGGAGACACTGCCCGGTCCTGCACCAGCCCTATGATGGGCTGTGGATTGGACTCTTGTGACCCGTAGGACTGTCATTGGCTGATTTTTGGAAGTAGAGCACCAGGCCTTTCTTCCTAGTCCATCTTAGTTTGGAAGTTCTGCTGAAACCTGTTCAGCATCATAGAAACACACAAACCTCTACTGACAGATGGGTGGTGGCTACACACGAGGTGCGTTGGCCGGGAATCAAACCCAAGTCTTCAACATGGAAGAGACAAATTCTGCCCCTGAGCCCCCACGGCCTCATTGGTCGAGGTATAAAGACAGCTTTCTAACCGAGCAGTGGATGTTGTAAGGAGGCAGGCGAGCTCGGTGGCTGGGCCACACCTCGGGCAGAAGTGTGGGCACCGATGCCTTTGGTGCTCATGATACTCTGAAAGCACTGCTTGCTGACCGTGGCCCACGTCCCAGGCCCTCTGTGCAGTGCTGCCAGTGCCCTGTGTTCTCTCGTTCCTCACAATAGCCAGCCAGGTTGTCCCCAACACACAGGTGGGAACACAGAGGCCCAGAGAGGTGGAGAGATTTCACAAAGGCCACACAGCTTACAGTTGGTGGAGGCAGATTCACATCACCCCAGTGCTGGGTTAGGGAGAATGCATGGCCAGAGTGGAGAGGGTGTTTGGGATGGGGTGGGCAGGAGGGAACTGGGGAGCAGGGGGCTTTGAGGAGCAGACATAGGAGTTGGGTCCTAAGAGACAAAGCCATGGAGCGCTCCTCGATGAAAAAGCCCAATGATTGACATGTCAGAGAGATGAGTGGGGGCTGTGGGGTGGAAAAGGGTCCCCTCTCCTCCCACCAAATCTAGGATATGATGTCCAGGCAAAGAAGGACCCTCCCTTCTTGACCCTCCCCAGAGGACATTGGCTGTTAGTTGCCATCGAGTTGGCTCTGACTCACGGCACCCCATGGACAACAGGACAAAACGCTGCCCAGTCCTATGCCATCTTCACGATGGTTGGTGTGCTCATGCCCATTGTTTTGGCCACTGTGTATTTTGAGTGTCTTCAACCTAGGGGTTCATCTTTCAGCACTGTATCAGACATGTTCTCTGGTGATCCATAGGGTTTTCATTGGCTAATTTTTGGAAGTAGATCACCAGGTCTTTCTTCCTAGTCTCTCTTAGCCTGGAAGCCCTGCTGAAACCTGTCCGCCATAGGTGACCCTGCTGGTATTGAAATACCGGTGGCCTAGCTTCCAGCATCACAGCCACACACACACCAGCTGGGTCCTGATGGCTGGTCCTGCCAGGTTATCCCTCTGTAGACAGGTATGCTGCCTCTACTGCTGCCAGATGTATGGGCAGCCCTCCCCTGGCACAGAGAACCCGTGTGGTAGGAGGGTGGGGAACTGACTCCCAGCTGCCTCTTCGGGCCTGGCTCGGAGGGCGTGCTGGGAGCAGACTCCTCTCCCCACGTGACAGCCAGCACTGCTCCACCACTGCCCCCTCCCCCCTTACCCTCAGAAGAAGGCCTCGTTGCCAGGAGACTTCTATCAGAAGGGGGTGACTGTCATTCTCCAGGCGCCGCTTGTGGGGGCCAAAGCCTGAGGGTCCGGGGCTTTCTCTGCCCTTTCTGCGGTGGGGGTGGCCCAGAAGATGTAGGAGTAGAGGTGGGACAGATGGACGCATCCTTAGTCTCCTCGGGGTGTTGTCTGGCGCCCTAGTGGCACAGTGGTTAAGCGCTCGGCTGCTAACCCACAGGTTGGCAGTTAGAATCTACCAGCCACTCCTTGGAAACCTTATGGGGCAGTTCTGCTCTCTGTTCTGTAGGGTTGCTGTGAGTCAGAATTGACACAACAGTATTGGGGTTTGGGTTTTTTTTGTTTGTTTTTTTTTTTTTGGAGCGGGGCTTATAAGAACAGAAATGTATTCTCTCCGCTATGGAGGCTGGAAGTCCAAGACGAGGGGGTCAGAAAGCCCGTGTTCTCTCTGAAGGCTCTAGGGGAAGATCCTTCTGGTCTCTCCCAGTTCCTGGTGTCCCCTGGCCTGCCTTGGCTTGTGGGCGCGTCTTCACGTGGCTGTCCTCCCTCTGTGTGTCCAGCTGTCTTTCTGCTCTTTTAGAAGGACCCCACTCATACTGGGTTGGCTCCATCCTACCCCAGCGCGACCATGTTAACTGATAGCATTTGCAAAGACCCTGGTTCTGAACAAGGTCACGGTCACAGAGGCACTGGGGTCAGGACCGGAATCTCCATTTGGGGGAGCACAATTCAGTCCACAATAGGGGTGTTTCTGGGCTGTGGACAAGGCTGGGGGAGTCTGACAGTGCAGACCCCAGGACTCGGAGCCGGTACGTGGGGCAGAGGGCCCTCCACGAGGGAGGGTCTGCAGTGGAAAATAATACTTTTTAGAACTGCTTTTTTTCCTATGAGAACCTTGAAAACTTGAGGGATGGTGCAGTGTGTCCTTGAGGGCCCCTCACCCTTTCTCAGTGATCTTGGACAGAAAACGCATTTAAGGAGCAAGTCCCGGGACAGGTGTGGGCTTTATCGCCCAGAAACACGGCAAACCCCGCTGGTCCTGTGACTCCTGCCTGTGTCCTCACGTGAGCAGAAGTGGTTCTCCTCTGATCGAGTCCAGTTCTACGTGTAACAGTTGTAGAGGCATGAAGCGACTGTAGGATAGTCACCGAGGCTAAGAATTACAGATGCATTAGGTAGTCCTTAAACCCCTCCCTTGCATTTTTGATATTTTTATTTATGTTTCTTAAAAAAAACAAATTTTTCTGGGATGCTTTCTGTGGCTTTTCTCTTTCTGGAGATTTCACGTTCAGACCTAGCAATTTCACACTCTGTGGATTTAGTAGCGGAAAGCCAACATACCAGGCTGGGCTGCTGGCCTGGCTTCGGCCTCACGTGAGCAGAGCTGGGCACTTTGTATCTTCCCAGGGGGTGGTCTTGGCTGGGGTCTCATTGTCAGAGGGAGCAGTAGCACATAGTGTTATTGAAAGTCATAGAGCCTCACCACTTAGCTGTGCGACCTTGAGCAGGCCACTTCCCCTCTCTGAGCTTCCATTTTCCCATCTGTAAAATGGGTATCACGATAACGCCTCCCTCGTTGGGCTGTAGTGAGGTGCCGAGTGCATGGTAAGTTTTTAGTGAAGATTATGGGCAGGGTGTGTACAGGTGAGGGTTGAGGGTGGTGAAACAGGTGATGTAGGATATTCCCAGCTTTTGATGCCTGGTCTCTTGGGGGTCCACCTCTGCCTGAGTCAAGGAGAGGGCCGGGAAGGAAGGGAATTTCTGATTCTGGAAAAGAGGGCTTTCACATGGCCCCAGCTTTGCAGGTTGCTCAAGCGGAATCCCCAGTCAGGGTAGCCAGCCGCCTTGCACCTTCTCGCTTCCTCCGGAGGGGAGAGACTGTTCCGGATTCTCTTGTGTCTCGTTGGGGAGCAGGGGAGGGGCCTGCTGGCCTCCTGCCTAGCCATCTGCAGGGCCAGGCAGGGCTGGGCGCAGCCACTTGTCCGGTCTGTCCAAGGTGGGAGCCCGGCCGGGGGGTGGTAGGGTGGCGTTGGGCAGCCAGCAGAGGCTGGGCCCTGGCCAGTGACTCAACCGGCACCCTGGGCAGGCAGGCCGTGGCCCACTTCTCCGCCTCCGCCAGCTCTCTGGCCCCTGACATTTCAGCCCGACTCGCGGTTTCCCGGTAACTCTGCTTCCCACGAAGCCCGTTGGCATGGCGCCAGCCCCTGCCACCGCCCTCCGGCATGAGTCCATTCTTGCCACTGCCTCAGCTGGCTGGCTCCTGTGCCTCTGGCGGGCACGGGACGCCTCTCTCCCACCTCCGGGGAGGCCTGCAGCCTCATGGGCCCTGACCCCATTGGCCATCTAGCTGCGTCCCCAAGCAGACCCCGGGGGATGGGTGCGGCTCGGCTTCCCAGGCAGAGCCCGAGGCAGAAAGAAACCAAGCCGACCCTATGAGGGGGGGACTGCTGAAGAGCTCCCCGGAATGTCCTCATTTTTCCTGGAAGCCGCCTCCAGCAGGACAAACAAATCCATTTTCAAAGGCACTGCAGCCAGTGACTCACTCCGAGGAACGCCCTCCCTGCCCTCCACCCCGCCGCCCGCTTCCCACACCCCTGCTTTAATCGCTCTGATGGGTGGTGCCCACTGGGGCAACTGGGGCAGGCGCCCATGAGCGCGGCCGACGAGCAGGGGTGTCTCCCTCGGCCCAGCCTCACGCCCGTCCCCTTCTTGCCGCAGGTTCATGCAGCACCCCAAGAACTTCGGTCTGATCGCGTCGTTCCTGGAGCGGAAGGTGAGTGGTGCCCGGCTTAGCGGCCCCGCCGAGCCCCTCTTCCTCCCACACCCGTGGGCAGCCGGGCCTGGGACGGTCCCGCCCTCCCTGCCGACAGGCCTCTGCCTGGGCCCTGCTCAGGCTGTTCCCCTTCCTTCCTTCCGTCCTTCCTCCTGTCCTTCCCTCTCTCCCTCCCTCCCTCCCGTGAGCAGCACTGCAGGCCCTGCCCAGGCCCACGTGCACATGGGGGTGGAGCACCAGGCTTCAAGCGTCTGTGAAACCCCGAGAGTTGTGTGGGCAGGTTCCCCGGCCCATGTTCCAGGCTCCCCTGCCAGCTCCTCAAACGTGGCATCCTTACAAATGTGGGATGGCTTCTGGAAGTGATGCGGCACTCGGCTTCCCAGTTAAGGCTTTACAGGCCAGGGTGGTGCTCCTTCAGGGGACTGGATGAGTAACCTGTCGGGGGACTGGATGAGTGACCTGTGGGGACTGGATGAGTGACCTGTGGGGACTGGACGAGTGACCTGTTGGGGGACTGGATGAGTGACCTGTGGGGACTGGACGGGTGACCTGTGAGGACTGGACGGGTGACCTGTCGAGGGACTAGATGGGTGACCTGTGGGGACTGGATGAGTGACCTGTGGGGACTGGACGGGTGACCTCTGGGGGGACTGGATGAGTGAGCTGTGGGGACTGGACGAGTGACCTGTGAGGACTGGGCGAGTGACCTGTCGGGGGACTGAACAGGTGACCTGTGGGGACTGGACAGGTGACCTGTTAGGGGGACTGGACGGGTGACCTGTCGGGGGACTGGACGGGTGACCTGTGGGGGGACTGGACGGGTGACCTGTTAGGGGGACTGG